CCTAACGAGAAAAAATCTATTTAAATTTTAAAATAGATCCTCGCTAAAATTAAGCATATATCTATATTTACCGATTTTCCGAATCTAATTCCCTGAAATATATATCACGTGTCTATACGGGCAATTTTAAAACAACTAGATATCATACAAGAATAATAATATTTACTCACATTTCTGAACAAATATATATGTATTTTCGAATAAATTTTGAACCTTGAACTTAATGTAATAACACGATTAAGATAAATGCATTTAGACAGTTTGATAATGTAACAAAACGAAACCATACTAACTACCTATAAATTCACTACCCTACATACATTGTTATCACAAATATAACGATCCTCTTCATTACTGATATTTCCTTTGTATCATTGACAACTAGATTTTAACAGCATAACTCATAAAAATGATCACTTATTCGGCAATATTAATTATAATTAAATATATATGTTTTTTATTTATTGTTACGAAAAATAAAACGAGAACGGTTTTATCAGTTCGTTGCATGGCAAAAGTATGCTAACCAACCACTCAATCAAAGAAACATAAATCAAATGAAAAGAGGTGGAGAAGAATTCAAATAAAAAGATAAACCGATGGCTTTAAGGCTATAAGTATACTTCGTTTGAAATGCCGAACAAACTGTTATAATTTTAAATTCGAAACCATTGATGGATCGTCTGAATCGTAGACGAGTTCACTTTATTGAATATATAATATAATAAACAATTTTATATTACAATTGGTTTACCCACCCAGTGCCTATTTTTGATATAATCACAAACAATAATATACATTATAGATCTTCTCATCAAAATCTATATAATAAAACGAGATAGTATAATACATTTCGTTCACGCTCAACCAAAATCGAAATTTTAAAAATAACTACCGAATGGAATGTTTACATAAAAAAAAAAAATAGTAACATGGGATTAAATATGACATTTATCGTAAAATAAGTTTAAGAAAAAAAATGCAGATGAAATGATAAATGAAATTCACCTTAAAAACTGAACACGTATTTCACCGTCCCCATCCTTGGGGGCTCGACGATTTTCATTCGTTGGCCGACACCTGCAACTGCGTTCTAATTTAGGGTTTTATTCTTGACACGAATACAGACGAAATCCCCTTCCAACACCTTATCCTGAAGTTACACTCGTAAGAAAAGAACTGAAAATTAATCATGTATGTTTTTGCACGACCGTTTGAACCAACGAATCTGCGATCCTAAAAGTGGACCTTAAATATCCTTAAAAAAAATAGTTTCTGAAAATACTCGCCATACTATTTTGGTATATAAGAATATATTTTTCGAACGATTATCCCCGAGTAAACATGAAAACATTTCCCTATTAAAACAAATATACAAAGTAACTACATAAGATTCACAGACAACGATTCCGAAAAGTCCACTTTAACGTTTTATTTAAAAAATTCAAAGTTACGCTTAAATAATAATTTTTACTTTTGAAAAGAAATCTTAATTCAATCATTTTTAGTTTTATGAGAATATTTAAAGTAAGGATGTGAAATTTAATTTTCTGTTTGAAATGTGGACACATTATTTCTCAATGATGACACATCACATTTCTACTTTGAATAAATAGGAAATCGCATTACTTTAGATACCACATTATGCTGCAGTTGACTTATTATGATTTTTTGTTCAATAAGAGATTTTTAGGAGAATTTTATCTTTTTTAAGAAATTATATATGAGACTACTGTGGAAAATTTATATTATACTTGTAAAAAAAAAAAAAAATAGTCAAGGAGTTGATAAATTCATAATTTGGTAATTTGGATTTAAAAAAAAAATCATTTGATATTATTAGAAAATCCTGTTAAATCCAGTTTAAGGAAAGGGTGAATTATACAGTCGTATGATATAATCTGGAAATCTGTATGAATCAACCACCAAAAAAGGAAAAAGTTAAATAGATTGCGTAACAATATAATGAATAATTTTGATGAAAACAATTTGAAGCCGTGTAAATTATTAAAACATGAACAAACAGAACGAATTTTATCATTTTTAAATTAATTTAATAAAAAAATATAATCTAAGTCGATAACATCAATCCAGATTAATCATTGTAATTAAAATTATACGGGTTATCGTATTTGGATTAATCAAGATTTAGTGCTCTGCATAAGTGAAAATCATCATAACCTACTGCCGAAATGTTTAATATTCGTAACAGGTCAGTTAAACAACTTATATAATATTACTTTTATTTGATTGTCTATTTTTCTGTACTTTTATTCATGATTAAAATATCTGCGAAGTACATAGAATGATAATTTCAGACGGTAATACAATCAATAAACTTTATATGTATTTTAAGATTATAATCACCTTTATTTTCTATTCGGGTCGTGTTATATAAATATGGAAATTATTGAACAAATATTTTTTATTAAAATCTGTGTTTGAAAAGAAGAGGGGTTAAATAATCAAAGTGTATACCCATTTAAGGTCAAAAGCAGTAAGGGTAAAATATTGCAAATAATATGAAATTAAAAAGATTCATCGTACTATGAACAACTAATAAATAATGTTTTAATTTTTCTTTAGACCGTTTGATACATATGGCCGATGGAGTACGAATGTCCTTTAACTACGAAGTGATTTAAAAAAAAACGTTTTAATACTTAATAATTTTAAGACAAGTACTTTACGGTGTTAACATATAATTTTCTTATTATTTAGGTAAAAACCGATTTTTTTATTGAATTAATAAATTATAGAAGTTTTATAAATAATAATAATAATAAAAATAATAAATTATAGAAAAACAAATTCCATATATTATAATAATAATTGGAATAAAAAACATCGCTAGATAACTGGATTTATAAAAAAAGGTATGTATATAAAAAACGGCGTTGGATCGAAAATGTTCAGTTAAAAATGACTGCTGAGTATAACAAAGTTAAAATATCAGCAAGCGCGTCCCTAGAGATTGACGACGGGTAATCCCTGGAACGCGGGCAGGCTTATCGTTCTCGTGACTTCGATACGTTCCTGTACGGTTAAGTGCGGAAGATAGAAGAGATAATAAATTATTATATTATTATATGTGATAACCATGTCACGATACTGCAGCAGCAACATCAGCAGCAGTAGCTACTGCTACCGTTCATGACGATATTTTTACTGTCACCGTGGACAACACTGGATCATAATTTACGTATACAATTTCAAATATTGAAATGCACTCAGAAAATTACGAGTACTATAAAGATACGTATATAGGTACCTATAAATATACCTACGTTGCAAACCTAAATCCTATATACTATACATTAAAAAACAATGAACTTCGCAGTATTATAAATTAAATTACTACGCGTCCCTGCTGTTTTATGTCTATATACAAACGTAAACTTTAAAATTTACAACGAACCCGTAAAACCTTTTTTTTTCTTCATTTATCTCATTATAATTCGGTAAAAATGAATGATATATTATAATATAATATTGCAATCAACTGGCGCACAATGGGGCTGATATAAAATGAAAGTTGGCAAAAATTATTTTTATATTTTGTACACATATTAATTTATTTTCTTCTCTGTAAACAACTTTTCTTTGGATTAAATCATGAACTTCAAGGGTGGTTTTTAAGTAACAAATTTAAGCTAGTCGGCATATTGAGGAAGTTTTATTTACTTTTAAGTTTTCTTAAAAATGAATAAAAACCAGGAAAAAAAACTTATGAAAAACACAAAAATATTAATGAAATACCACGGGGAAAAATAAAATGAAAACCGGTAGGGAAATCAAAAAATAAATTCCTTAGTACGGCAACTAGAGCCAAAAATGCAAAAAAAAATTACCTTTTGAAATTTTTTATTGGGACAAGATTTTTATTAGAAATATTGTTCATAGACAGAAAATATGAAATGAGCACACTACATATGCTCAGAATCTGAAATACATACATTTACGCAGTTTATAATTTATACCAAAAAAAAAGGGGGGGGAAATTTAATTAGACAAAATACACAAAGATGTACTGAATCCTTAGCTGATTTCTCCCTGTATCCAAAGATAACATATCATCGTATAGACATTGTCTCTGTGATATTTACTGTCACAATAATAATAATTTTAATATTTACTACCATTGAGTGAACTGGACTTATAAGTTAACACGTTATTGTCGTCAATACGATAATATTATTATCACAATATAAATGTCTTACTGACGAACAATTATTAAACAGAATTTATTCGATTACGATTTACATATATTATACTCAATGCCGTTATAATAATGACAATAGAATTATTCAAGAGTACTATCGTGTACCGTCTTCGTGTTACTCATCATAGAATTATATTGTAATAAGTATAAATTTATCTGTTTCATCGTAATTTAGGTATTTTACTTTAAAGCTCAAAGCAAATTAAGGTGATAGTTGTATCCCAAGACCCAGTTAAAAAAAATAAATAAATACTCCAATAAATGTATAGTATATAGATATGTATATATTATTACATTTAAAAAAGAAATTAGGGAAGTTCATTCTACGAGTATGCAAAGATCCCGATTTTCAAATGTATTTTAAATAATAATCCACCAAGCCTGAAAAACGGAAAAATAAATATTGGTTTCAGTTATGATTAATAATACGAGTTTATTCTCGATTTTGATAAGTAATAACAGTATCAAATTTTTTCTGGTTTCAATTTTAATTTTGAATATTATTACTTGCTATACATTTTTCTAAGAAACCTTAAATTTTGTACAAATATCACAAATAATACAAATTACGTGGAATTTTATTGAATTTCTGCTCAAAAATTTTTTTTTTTCTTTTCTTGGAATATTAGGGTCTCCAAAATGAATCAGTAAAATCTGAACCCAATATATTCATTAAACCCAACGTTTTTAAAAAAAAAACTATAATATACGAATGAAATTTGACACGCAGTGTTCATCAGTATATTATTATATTATTAAATAGGTACACCTAATATCTCTAACCCGTTAAACCTGTAATTGAAAATGTATACAATTATAATAACGGACGAAGGGTATTTACATTACACAATTATATAATATATTTTCCACCGAGCTGTTATTTTTATGCTATACTATGATAATATAGATGAGTTTAATATATTTCTACAAAATAACGATCTATAGTATATATTTTAATTGACTCTAATAGTTAAGTACTTTGGAAATTATTTCAATCAGTTATACCTATATACATACTCGTATAGCCTTTTGGTTTAAATTAATTTCCAGATTATTTAAGCGAAAATAGTATTAATACGCGTCCCCTTTTGTTTCTAAAGGATCACTGCAGAACGTCATTCGATTACCGCTCGGCAGATTCCCAAAAAGGTTTAATTGGTACCGATATAATACTCGTATAATATAATATGATTATATGGAGTAACATCTCTATATTCTCCGACAAGTATAAATAACGGACTCGATGAAGTAAATTACTATATAGTATGTACATATATCTAGTATGTATATTGTTATATTGTCGTTAAAACATTTGTGACTGTACATTTAATCTGTATACCGAGGACTAATTTCGAAAAAATAATATTGTAGAATACATTTAAAAAAAAAAACTGTTCTAGGATAATAGGGACGGATGCAGCCAATGACGGGAATTTAACGCACGTAAATAACGATTAACCGTTGCTAACGAAAAAACGATTCTGAGCGAAGTTCAGTTAATAGTGATGCTTTATCAACAATATATATGTCATATTATGGTAAAATAATTAAATAGGCATTATATATTTTCTTATAAATACTAAAGGCTAGACCGACTTCAGCCAGCGAATTCCGTGTCAAAATTTCCTACCGATCGCTGTAGCACAAAATAAAACAAAACTAACCTGCAATATAAAATATTGGTCAAAATATTTCAAACTGTTATTCAAATTGTCTCGAAATTTATTTTTTACCTTTTTAAGACTTTTGCGCTAATCTAAAGCCTGTTATTCATTTAAGAGAAAACAGTAGAGTCGTATTTACGAACGAATATGACATCTTAAGATTAATAAGCGGTTGTAAATTATATATTATACTTCGCAATGTTCAATTTCAATTTTTAATGTATGGATTTGTTGACAAATTGTCTAGAGCTGGTTATTGAGGAAGACCGTTTTTGTATTAAAATTTGGTACAAACTTATAATATTATATTCTTTAAAAATTAAAATCTAACATTGGTAAGTATCGCTAATTTTTCACCTCTTATTGGTCTAAAGGAAATCGTAAAACTTAATTTTATCAGCTCATTGATATTCCAACTTTGATAACAAACCAATATAAACGCATAGATAATGATTATAATGTATAAGATAGTCACTGTAGAATATTTTTGATATTAAAAAACATTTCGGTGACTTATTATAAAGAATTTTCAGTTACAATCGCAATTTATCCTATTGAAATAGGTATAAATAAAGTTATTTCTTTTGGAGGTTTTTTTTTTTTTTATTATTATTATTTTTGTAAACAACCTAACAATAACAGTACAGGTCCCACTGGAGACGTGCGAATTATACTTAATTTAAATATATACCTCTCGTATTTACCGGAACTGTATTGGAAAATCAATTCCCCCAGGGAACGAGGACTGCACACTTTCATGGATTATACGTACGCGTGGAATTCAATATTACAAGGTCGGTTGACCAATAAAAGTTTGCAATAATAGATACGTTTACGGGTTTGAATGCAATAGCCGTGGTTATTACTGCATTATTGCATTGCATGGATTGTACGACCAAAGTCTCTGATATCAAAAAGTCCATGAATGCATACCAAAAGTCCCAACAAAACGCTTAATCTTTTTCCTTTTTTTGTTCTAAAATGTATTCGATTACTTCTCCATATTTGTCACGTACACCAAAATAAAGTCAATACCTATATTTATAAATTGTTTTGTTTCAAATCAACATCTATCTTTTTAAGGCGATAGGAAAATATAAGGATAATTTTTTTAGACTGTAGACACAAATAATTTTAAGGGCTTTTATTGTTTTCGGAGGTTTCAGGGTGATATCAATTCATATTCAGACAAATTAGAAAACTACTAACAGTGTTCGAACGAGACTAAATTATACGCTGTAATGCATCGAACGATCAGGAAATCGATAAATAATAATACGATTAATAAAATGATAGCAGTTATCGTATATACTATTATTAGTGGTATTATTATGCTGATATAATAATGTAGATTAATGACTTACCAACGATAAAAAGCGACTCGACGACCACGTCGCTGACCATAGACGGTTTATCCGTATTGACAAAACTAGCATTGTATGGCACGATGATGGCTACGTAAAATGTAGCTATCAGTATCAACCAATCCCAGCACGTTTTAAAGACGCCGTAGTGCGACAGCACCCATCGGGATTTTTTCAGCGCCGAAGTTTTGTATTCCGGTAACGGCGCGGATGAGCCCTGCAACAGCGTCTGCGCAAAAACAACACTCAATATGAATATTAATTTTATTATTATTAACATAAAATGCAATGAACCTACAATGGTGATAACATGATGTTAATAATATGTATATTATATACATATAAAAGCTAAACAAAATCCGTGATCAGCAGATTTTAATTTCTTCCATCTATTATTGACGAAATCAATTAAATATTATATACTTAGATTTATTATAAAAATTATTTTCAAAACAATAAATAACCGAATACAATAACTAATAATAACACAATATCTATATTATAATGGAAGTACATTTAGTTTTAAAAATAATTATGAAATTTGGTCATAAAAATGGTAGAAGTTAAAAGTTTAAGCCCTTGAAAGGTTTGATACCAACGTTGTACTATTTAAAACTCAAAATTGTATCCCTCTGGTAAAATTTAGGGAGTCTATATAGGTGTATAAAAATAATAGAATAGAATCCACACACATAGTTAAATTCATATTGAAATTCAACCCAACACTTTTCACTTCAATCTGCTTACAAAATAGCTCGATTAATTCCAGTATTTGGCCTAATTTGGTTCAAAGTGGTCCACCAGAAATATCTAAAAGTAGTGGAAAATATATATAAGTATATATAGTAGATAAAAAGAATACCACGATTCTCAAAACCAGTATCTGTTACAACAAAGCCAACTGGATTTTTTTTTTTTAGACCCCAGAGATAAAAAGAAAGCCATGGCAATTAGTGCGAAATCGAGTCAAAAGTCGTTATATATTTCTAAACATACCAACGAATTTCGCGGTGACGCGAATAGGTATACTATAATATAATATGCTATATTCTTAAAAGTGATTTCAGTTTCATTTTCAAATTTTCTATTATTTGTGTATAATTTACTAGTTTTCACAGGTATAAATAATAAATTATTTTATTTAATTATGTTTTACTGCAGTCTACAACATTCAACTAAATTAATTTAAACCACTACACAAAATACAGCTAGTTAGTAATTAAATCAAGGTACTTTTAGGACATAAGTAGCTTCCAGACACAAATACGACTAGGGGCCACGGCCGGACTCACAGTGCTTGAGACTTTTAGATTCTGAGCTGACGTGTGCATTTTTTTCCTGTAAACGATTTTGATCCAGTTCTCGGATAATTTTTCTCAATTCATAATGATTTTTTAAAAATAATAATATAGGAAAAAACTAATGATAAACTGATTTTGGAAGGAAATATAGTATGAAGAAATGTTGAATACATCAAAACCTCGGTTAAACATCGATATTAAGAGGAAGCTCACACTTGAAATTAATTTTTTTTTTTCCAGGCCAACTAAATCAATTTAGAATGTTTTTTTTTTTTTGGTTAAATTTATTATTGCTTTCAGTGTAAAAAATTATATTTAAATACTTTTGTTTTTTTTTTGTCAATATTGGTGGAAGTTTTGGCCGTTTTTACTCTCCCGAAGATACAGATAGTGTTGGTGAAGACACTTATAAAATAATAGTAGACCGCAGCAGCATGGGAATAAGATTCGGGTTACCCTGTATTGCAGTAGGTGAGGTGAACTTTGAGCAGCGTTTTCAAAAGACCTCGCGAGTTTTGTATATTACAATATCGTCTTGGCTATTACGATGCTGCGAAAGCCATACTATACTGCAGATAAGACAATGGACTACGACGAGAGACGTCTTGGATTTCGGAAAAGAATACGACTCACGCGTGCGCGGTATAATAATAACGACAAAGGCTTATTCGGCTTTTTATGTCAATGTATTTATCATCGTCCGGCTATAATATAATAGCAAAGGCTACTTTTGTTTTAATTTTCGAACCGTAAACGGTAGGCACCTATACCTATAGGTACCTATAATATAATATAATGTATTCGATTATAATAAAAGTGTATATGTACAGCAATGGGCGAGAGGTTACGACTTTTTCGAAATATTATTTTATTCAATTTTAAAAAACTGTATAATAATATTAAATTATGTCGATTTCAATTTATCCTGTGGAATAAAGGGGGAAGAAGGAAGTGTATTATAACTATGTTGCCATGTCGATGAAAAACTACATGCGAGTTTTACTCAAAAATTATATTCTAAAAGGATAATATTATATAAATGTAGTGGAAAATAGTATATATAATACTATGTTTTTGCCGGTCGAATTTACAATATTATTATTATATCGGCCACTGCACGTCGCTCAAAAAAGACATACGTGATAGGTAAAAGATAGGGAGAGAGGGCATAATAAATAATATTTATTAAAACGTAAATATATTCGCATATGTTTGAAATTTTTTTTCTCTCTCAAAAACGTGTAAATATTATATTGAAAACGTGACAACGTCAATTTGATAATAATATGACGTCACGAAGAATTGCAATACGCCGTCACCGTCCCGCGAGGAATAGTTGTTAAGAAGCACGTCAGAGGAAATTAAACTAGGTTGGTATTACCTAAATATATATTTATATATTATTATTATTATAAAACACGATGGACACGAGTCAGATGTCAAAATGAATAATGCTGCGGTAGCCGATCCCTGGGCATTTGGATAATATAATATAGGTACATAATTTAGGTAAGTATATTAAATGGTAATTCCGCGGGTAATGACCAAGCCGCCATAGGAAATAGAATCGGTTCGCGGTGGTAAAGTTATTTCTTCTGTGTAATAGTGATTCGGCGGCATGAGCATATATTCCGGTCGCCGCACGATAGTGTACTATAATAATATTATGACTAGAGTGACCATGTGGCTAGGTTATTTTTTTTTTTCAGTTTCTCAGAGCAGCAATTTCGCTTTTACTATGATGTGCACTTTTTATTATTATTACTTTTTTTTTTTTGTACGTTAACAATTTATCTCCACCAAAAATCCTGCTCCGATTTTCAGGTGTAGCATTTTTTATAAAAGCAAAAAGTACATCCAGTTGGTGCATTGAGAAGGTCGCTTTTTTATTTTCCTTTATCGTTTTATTGCACGCATTCTAAGGTAGAAATTCTTTTCCAGATGTCTGTATACAGTATTTGAAAAATTATTTTTTAAAAACAAATGCATTCCTATTTACATTCTTTATCTGAAAAAAGTAACGTACCCCCATTCATCGTTTCTTATTTTCATAATGAATACATGCACATTCCAAAAAAATTTGTTTGCAAAATAATTGTAATTAAAAAAAAAAAGTTGAAAAGGTAAGATAAATTTGAACTTCAAACGTGGACATAACAAAACTAATATATAACGCTAAACTAATTTGTTTTTTTTTTTTTTTTTTTTTTGCTACTTAATAAAACATATGACAAACATTGTGTTAAATTGTCAGATTTTAAATTTGTCTGATTGATCAAAACAATTATATCCACATAAAAACTAAAAAAATTGTAAAACGTCAAATATAAGTTTTCTGTGGACATTTCTAGTTTTATCATTTTAAACTGAATTACAATAAAAAAAACAAAATCAAAAATTGTAAATTGTTATTATTTCGTACATGAAATTTCCTTTTTTCTTATACATGTTTTCACAATTATTATAATAATCAAAAATTACTTATCAGTACTTCAACTAGATATAATATTCTACAAAAAGTCTGTATTTCATTTTTTGATTAGAACAATATTTCTAATAGAAAAACTGTTAACAAATAGATAATAATATTTTAAATTTTAAAAAGAACTGATACTGAGGACGAGATAAAACTGCCATAGGTGGGAAGTTGGAAAAATAATATACATAATGTTATTTAATTTATACCTGTAAGCAACGATGATATTTCCGATTTTCGTCAAATTTAGGTTTTAAAACTAGTTACAAAAAAAAATACAACGTTACATTCAATTTGTTTTTATTCATTAAGTATGACTTAAAATAAATTTCCTGTCAAATTTTCAATCATTTCTTTTCAATTCACTTTAAATCATTTTAATAACAGATATTTACTAAATGAACATAAAAATACCAACTACTTATATTACCTATAACTATTTATAGCTAGAATGTTTCGAAAAAAAAAAAAAAAAAATGACGCACGTATATTTTATTATATTTTTGAGGAATTCTATCATTTGGGTTGAAATTTCAACATAAAATGTATGAATTCACATTCACCATTCTTTAAAAATAAACGTAATTGCTTTCATGAATGTATTATTCTAAACAGGAAATAAATTTAATAAATACAGTCCAGTTTAGAATGTATTTATTCCAAACAATGTTTATACAGGCTGATTGACTTAGTTTGGAACTCTAATTATCAAGTATTAACTTTTTTGGAATTTTAAATTTTTTTTTCAATAATAGAAATAAGCAGCTTAAACATATTACATTATCATTATTTTTATGAAACGTCTATCTACTTTTGATTTTCAAATCGAAACCTATATTAAAAATTTTATAAATATTTATGAAATATAAATTCAAATCAATTTTTGTATTAACATTTTTATTTTCGCAAAACTATTGATAAGATATTTAAAATTTAACTTTAAGTAGGACAGAATAGTGAGGCATCATTTGTGTATTGGTACGAGGCCCGTGACTACTTAGTGCTCACTAACTTCTTGGACTCTTGTTCTTTTGAATCAATGACAAATGACTTTTGGCCACCCTGGTAGTAATTAATGTTCGTCAAATTTTGCAGTCAAAATAATCTCCCAGGTTTATACTTTTTTTTTTTTAATATATTGTTTTATAACCAATAACCAATTGTCTAGTGTTGGAACATCAAAGGAGTTAATAATATCCATATATGTTCCTAATAAATTATTAAAAAACAACGGTTTTCTATATAAAGTTTAAAATAATAATAAACATTTTGATATTTAAGTAAAGATGATTATCTTAATTATCTAGATTATTATTGGTTTAAAAAAAAAAAACACTTAACTAGATATTCGAGCAACTATAAATTGAAAGTACGTGGTTACAAACACGTCGGTTTTTATAGAATAGTTCACAAGTTTCCAGAAAATCCATAAACAGGTGGTACATAAAATAAAATTTTCTCGTTTTCCGAAGAATACAATAATAATTTATCATTGTTTTCGAGTTCGAAAGGTATAAAACAATGTAATAATATATACCTACATATATTATAGTTATTATTGGAGTTGATTTATTTATGTAGTTCCAGGTTCTTGTGTATATATATATTGGCGGCTCCGACTAGGAGAGTGGGCCGGGTCACGGTAAATAATGCTCACCCTCTACCTCCCACCAGATCCAGTGGTGCTTGTTGGGGGAAAAAGGTTATTTATTATAAAAACTTCAAATTGGAACGCAATCCAATAGTATTTTATAATAACATCCAATAATAGGCTGTCGATATGAAAAATTACAACCATAACCTGACGATTTTTTTCGAAAATAATTGACTAAAATCCATATTGTCTTAATACGGATTTAATGTAGAAGACATCCATCAGTTTTCAAAACACCACGTTTACTAATCGCACACATAATATTTTCAAAAATGGTAGAAAATTACTCACGTCATAATAATTATCATTGTAGTATAAAAACGTGTATATTTCATACATTTTTCTAAAAAATGATAATAATATTAAAATTATGCCGGAATGACGAATTATACATTAATCTCGGCGGACTGTCGCAACACTCTTAAATCTTAATCCAAATATAACTACCTGCGATCTGAGTTAATTTAATATTAAATTCTTAATTCGCATTTAGTTATAATCACTTGACTCCGAGTAAATAATACAATTATTTTAAATCTTTTATAATCACTAAGCTAAGCGTAAAATCTATAATAAGTGAATAGTTGCTATATATACCATAAAACTGATGTATAAAATAACTATTAATAGGTGACTATGTAAATATAAATGGAAACTGCATAGTGTATACCAAGAGGAAAACATGTATTTATCAACCCACGAATTCTATGATCAATTTACAGATTAATTGTTTTTATTTGTTGTTATAAAATCGACCGTGGTCTCTATATAATCATCACATAATTTATAACTATCACGATAGTAATTATATCATCACGTGTAACTGCAGACTATAGGTCTTGTCTTATAGACGTCATAAAAAAATCGCACGTTCCCCGTGTTATTTTATGTATTTCCATACCATTGAGTGGCGCTAACCGCAGATTAATTGAAAAATTTAATGTTCTGTTACAAATATCAAGAACAATTGAATTTAAATCACACACATTTATTTTTTTATTTTTTTTTTAAATTTACTAGTTAATTATACGTATTACACCAAAGCATACTGGTTTCTTAAAGAATCGTGTTTTTTTTTCGGGAAAGAAAATTAAATAGCTGAAAATATATATAGGTACTAGGTATCCTTTATCAATAAATTATACCCCATTACAACCTAAATTTTCTTTAAATAAATTTCCTCCTGATTAGATCAGACGACCTATCTATTTATTTATTGACCATACTGTCATGTATTATAAATCTTGAACAATTAAAAAAAAAAAACATGTTATATCAATTGGCTAGGTTAACCTATATAAACCGATTAATAACGTCTTAATTTATTCCACCGGATTTAACATTTAGGTATTTTTTTCAAAATAATTTATGATGTGTACAAGTAATAATAGATCGTGTTGGTATATTCTACGTAATATTTTTCCACCTTCAACAACATATATATATATATATGACAAAAAATGTTCAAAGTAAAAAAAAAACATGATTTTTTTGTAAAATAACTTTAGACTTTTAATAATATACGAGGTTGACAGTGTTCGCGCCCGACACGTTTTAGTCGATATTTAACTTTAATACAATTGGAATCGGAATTTTATATATTATGCACTTTCGCGTCAATCTGTTTTCATCGACCTATAATCCGTAAAATATAATATTCATATTAAACTCGTTATAGTAATTTATTAGACTACATCAAACTAATATAATTATGTCTCTTGTAAACCACATATATGTAACTGCGTTGTCGGTGTATCGAAGGAACGATCCGATTGAACGTTTGTATTAATATTTATTAATAATAAAAAATTACCGAATGCAATTACAGCCTGTTTTATAATTATAGGTACTTTACTTTGAACTTTAAAAATTATTAAAAATCACGAATTTAATGCAAATTAAAAAAATAAAAACGTAAACGTATTCAAAAGAACAGACTCTATAAAATTACTATCACAGAATTGTTCGATTGAAACCGATCAGAAACTGACAAATTACTCCGGGTATTCTTACTGAACAGACAAAACAACCTCCACAATTAAAATGGTAAAAAATAAAAATGGAAAAATTGCTAACGTTTTAATATTATGCTAATACACAGAAGAACGACACTCACGTTGTTCAATTTTAGTTTGCCAGTTTTTGGCTTATCACTCTTGTAATGTCCAGACAATTGATAAAGTACGGCTCTACTCCTCCGTCTCCCATAAGCATTACTTGTGGGTTCTGGTTCTTCAGGTTCGGCTTCTTCTGTAAAAAAAAAACAAATGAATAATAATTAAGTAATAAGCAAAGCAATAACAGTAAGACCAACTGACGAATTCAATAATATTTTGGTACAGATACATCAGATACATCCATTCTTAGCCTTATATATACATTATTATAATTACTAATACTACAGCAGTAGAGATCCCATACGTTCTGTATTATACGGGATTGTCCCGTATTTGAGACAAGCGTCCCGGTGTCTCAACCAAATGTCCTAAACAACACTTTTTTCCTGTATTTCGAATCTCCCATTCCGTGTGTCCCTTAATTTTTCTTATTTATTAAATTATATAATTCAAATTAGCGTGTTATCGTGAGATTAAGTAGTAAATATCACTGTAGAATTGTAGACAAATTACATTTTTAAATTATGTTGACTTATTTATATGTCAGTTTGATTTCAATATTATTTTTATTAAACTTTTAGTTTTGAATAGATAACTTTTGAATTACGGACTAGTTTTGAGGGCTATGTCCTTACCATCACCCCTTCGCACTATATAGTTTGTTGCAATATATGTAAATTTTAAGTGAGATTTAAAATATTCCGTATTTATAATACATAAATCTGGGATTCCTATACAACAGAGTTATGAATTTCATTTTTTTTTTTCAATTTTGAGATACGGTTTTCTTATACTCGTAGTACAAAGTTTAAATTATCAACTAAGTTTTCTTGCTTAGATTTTTTTTTCTATTTGTTAAATTTATTCAGTTTTTAATGTATTTTATACCATTTGTAAAATGATAAAAATTAATTGAATTAAATTTAAAAACACAATACTAGCAATTAATTTTATTTGTTTTGTCTTAATCGATTATCGATTCATTATTCAGTTTTTTTTTTTGGTAGGTTTTTTTAAGTGCATTAAATCCTCGTTGTTATTATTGGATAAAAATATATCTGGAACATAAATATTCTATACGCAGTATGCGGTTCGTACGTGTATCGCAATTATTAGATAATAATATAATAATAATAATAAACCATACGAAACGTGATCGACTTTTTTTCATAATATTATGTTTATATATTCAAAAAAAAAACATATTGTACCGAACTTAATGGAAATTCATTGACGTAAATTGTTAATATAATATACAGTAGGTACCTATATAGTATTTGTAATATTATCCTCGCAAAAAATATGATAATTCTGCTATCATACGTTTATCAAAAAACAGCTCAAATTAAATAATCTGAGTATATTATTTTGTTGTCCAACAATAGTCGGTAATATTTTCTCAATTATAAATGGTTATAAGTAGGACAGATATATCATATGCTTTATAAAAACCTTTAAATAATAAAAATTTTTCTTCTGCAGAAATTATCGATGTTAAGGTACGCTGGAAGAAAAGACAAATAATTAAAATATATTGGACATAACATTTCATTTTTTTACTGTTAATTATTAGTGTTTTATAAGTTTCCTAAAATACCGTCAATATATCCGGAAAATTTATGATTTTTACCATGTCACAACTTTGAAAATCATATAAACATCGAATATATGCAACTCTGTATCATTATATAAGTATTTCATTAAAAAAAAATATACATACATGCACGAATCGTACCCGCTAATCTATATACTGCTTCAATAGATATAGATTATTATTATTTCAGCACTTTTTGATTGACTTTATAAGTTGATACAGAGTTACCCATATTCGATGTTTATACAAGTTTCAAAGATGCTATACACTAAATATCATCGATTTTTTTTTAGATATATTGACAATATTTTAGGAAACTAAAAAACAACTAATATTAATTATCAGTAAGAAATAAACATAAAATGCCGTTGTCCTTTAATTACCTCCCCTCTCTCTCCACTTAAAGAATAATTTAATCTCAATCATTTCCATACAAGAAAAATTGTTTTCGTCAACTCTATATGCCTTATGGGAATAAAATTTAAAATAAATGAAAACACACGTGTATTTTAAAGTAAAAACCTTTACTTCGTTATAAGAGGACTTAAAAATTGTCCTAGGAGACTCATATAGAGTTTAATATTTATTTTTATTCTTTTAAAATAAATTTTGGGGATTTCAAAATAAAAATTCCGCTATCACCCAAATAAGAACTATCCTAATATATATATATATACTTACGTACAATGTTAAAAAAAGTATTTTAGCTAAAACACGGGTACTAAAGTCATCAGTTCTGTTAATAATATTTATAAATTAAGAACCGTAATTCAGTAACTCCGATTTCTACTACCTGCCGATAACGCAAATTATTTATAATTACCGTACGGCACAATCCGAGACAATATTATGATAGTAATAAATAATATTGATAGCAATATATAATAACAATATGTAATTGTATAAAATATAATACAATATATCCATTATAAATAATTAATATCGATCTATATAAATGATAAGTGCTTTATGTTTAAGACGCGTAGCTCGCTTCCGGGGCGATAAGAAATTGCTATCGATTACGAGAATTTTTTTTCTTTTGTTTTATTCGCCTGATAATAAAACTTAAATAATAACATATAATAATATTATATATTATATCAATGGAATTTATAACAAATTTTTTTTCTACTATTATTTATATTTTATTTCATGCAAATACTTAATATTATAGCTGACGGTAAACACAACAAAATAAAAATTATACCAAACAATATAATAACTAGATTATATGCTTAAATTAATTTATAAATACAAAAATTCAATACCTAGTCGGAATAAATCGAATTACTTAAGACTGAAAATCACAGGTTACTGCATTTTAGAATTATTTCTAAATGGAGATTAACAAAAAACCGTGTGTCATAAAATAAAGTTAAATACATTTTAAACGCAACAGTTCATTCTTATTTGGATAAGAATTATCGCTATTTATTATCCCTTTATTATAAATATATATATATATATATATATAAATTATTTTTTTATTCGGAGGCAAGCAACCAAAATCTTAGACTACTGCAGATTTATGTCCAACGGACTTTAACATGTATCCATTTAGATATAGAAAATCTCTCTAAAAAATACCTCATCACAAAATCGTTATTTTGTCTAAGGAAAATATGATTTTATGTACTTCCCTACTACAGTCTAAATTAATATAATGTAGAATGTAAATGATAATAGTATTCCTAATATCTATGACAATAATTTTTTAGAGATATAGGTCTTATTTTAATAATATTATGATACTATATCTATTGTGCGTGGTTCTATGATAGTATAAACGCATCAGTTTACTCAGGTATAATAAAATTAGTGTCAGCGTGCGCAGAGGGGAAGATTAGGGATTATATCACCGGCAACTTAAAAATACAACTATAAGAAATATAAGTATTTATTGAGTAATTAACTAATCTTGAAATGTACTAAAGTAATGTTTGATTTATTGATTAAATATTAGCCGTTATGGTTCCAACTTTTATATTCCCCTAATCAAGTAGGGTAAAGAAGTAGAATTTAATTTTTTGTATATAATCAGTTTTTTTTGCCACATACCTTAGCAATGAAAATTCCAGAGTCTGCCATTGTTTTTACAATGTTGTTTATTTTTTTTTCTATGAACAACTTATTTACCAGAAATCTTGTATCAAGTGTAGCACCTTTTTTTAAAGAAAATTTTATTTAATTGGTACTTTAGGGAGGTCATTTTTCAAGTGCTTTACAAAATAATTGGGAATAAGCAGGAACTAACGAAGGCGAAACGGGAATATTACAAAATGTGTTATTTTCAATTATGTTTTTTTGTTATACTATTTAATTCAGTTTAAAATATTTGTAGAGAGTTGAAATTTAGATTGAAAACTTATATTTGATTTTCTAGACATGAATAAATTTTCAAAATACTTTAGCCATTTTTGAGCTATTAATAGACATTTAACTTTTGTGAGTTTTTTACGTAATTTTTATTCGGTAGGTATCTTGTGGATAAAATTGTTAAACTAATGATACAAATTGATAAAAATTTAACAGGTTTATTATAAGTTGTACTTAGTGGTCAACAAGAAAAATCTGAGATTAATGAAGAATTTTTATTTTTATAAGAATCGTTACATCAAATTGTGACAAAAATCGTAAATATTATGGTCTTTTAAAACATATGTAACTGAATTTCGCTCCAAATCGTTTTTCATTAGCAATGGTTTAGTACAAATATAAATTAAATTCCACTATATTCCATGGTATATTCTTCCTTCCCATCTATAAGATTTTTTTTTTTTTATCTACATTTTGCTTTTAGCCAGAAAAGTCTGAAATGAATTAAATGGTCTTTAGCTATTCGACTATACTGTATAAATGTATTATATATTTGAACGTTATATTATAAATATTAATATTAGTGCGTCTTGCATTAAATTAGTGATTTATCATAAATTCACTAATAGTATTATGCAAATTGCTATAAAAATAATATTGCGTTTTATTATAATTGATAATTTTGATAACAATGCCTGCGATAATAACTTCTTAGTTTAAAATATATACGAGTACTTATTATATTTACCAACGTTTATAATATAAAATGATAAATCATAATAAATTAAATTTTTTAAACGAATATTTAGATCAATTTTATGAACGATCAACAGTAATTTTAGTTTCTTTTCGTTGATCGCTCTTTCTTCGCGTATGGCAAAACAAAGAGGGAGTAATTATTTTACACAAATGACAAATAATTGAAAATTATGCATACTCATTTTCCAAAATATTAAAAATAACTGTATCGTAAACTCTGTATAGTTTCCAGTAATTTGAGTATCATACCTATATTTTATATACATAGTGTATATGCAGGATTTGACAATTTCCTAAATCCTTTGCATAGGAAATTATCAAATCCTGCAGATACGTCTTGTATATAGTCCCCTCCCTGATATTATAATATTATCATCAAGGGAATAATCACATTCCTACCTTGTATACATTCGCAACTTTGACCGTTATAACAATATGTCAAACCGAAATAATAATATAATCGTACAGTAAAACCGTTTACTTTATACATTAAAATATATGCGGGTCATAATCCAATTATATATTATATGCGTTTAACCACGATTTATAGTCTAAACTCAGGCGAAACGTGAACTTAAGCGTTTATAACGCACCGTGACATAAGCTAGAAGTAAAAAAAGCTACTAAATATCGAGACTAAATAAACACTAAACAGATATGCAGTGTTTTTTTAGGTGTGTCTCCAGGTGAGCTGCACTCCCCTCCCCCCAGACGTAATAAACCACCCCCAAACAAAATTAGAAAATGTCATTTCCATGGCTATTGGCATCGGTTGAAAGATATATCAGTGTTATGAATATAATTCTGAGTAAGACTAGACATATTATGCTATCTTGATACATTCTTATAATTCCTATAATACAAATTTCTGTATAGTGTCGTAGATTTATACGTAATGAATAAAACTCGCCGAAAAAAATTAATTTAAACAATTGTTTTTAAGCTGTTCTTATTCTATATGCCTGTATTAATTATGTATGCGTTAATTTCATATAACTATAATATCGTGCGAAAAATGATCATAAGTATCAAAAGATGTTGAGTGCAGTTGTATTTTAATATTACCAAATAATTTCTAAAAAATATAATCTTCCGTAAAGTATAGAAAAAACGACAGATCGAAAAACACACCGAGGTTTTGTATTTTGGTTATAGGTAAGTGTTATTTATATTATTTTGTTTAGTTTTTTAAAAAATTTTTCCAAGTTTTTATTAAATATAAATAGGATGATTCAAGGTAAAATAATATTATTCTTTTCGCCGATATTTTAAGATAAAAATTTAAAATATCTAATATATCTCTGAGTTGTCAAACCATTGTGAACATTAAACTACAGTTCACAAACAAAATAAACTTTGATCCCTTTTGTATGGTGGCTATAAATACAACGTGGCGGCCACTACATTTTTCAATATTCTTATTTAACAATTTAATTGTCAATAAAAATGTTGATAATTATAATATTTTTATTAATTAAGAGCGGACTTCGCAATTTTGACAAAAAATATTATTAATTAGTTAATAACTGTACGCGAAATTTAGATATTTTTCATTGTAAATGTGGTAAACTCGAGGTTACAGCTGGCGCATAATGTAACACAAACACGTAATTCTGGTTTTATGATTTATTTAAGAAATATATCGTTCATCGATTTGTTAAAAATATATTATATAATTAATTTATTATTATTATTTGTCGTTTATATAGTTTGTTGATGTTTTAACGCGAACAATAATAATATTATTAATAATAACTAATAACTTTGGACTATACTGCCTAGTGGATATGATTTTAAAACTAAAAGCTTTAAATTAGGCACAATGACTTGGTTATTATATTAAGGCACGGAAGTTACTTCATTTGCAATATGTATGTGGATCAAAAAATTATTTATAATATACAAATATTGTTAAGCTTATCTATGATATTTGTAGGTTACATTTTGGCGATTATCGTATCCCTTATAAATGTTTACGTTAATTTTTGAAATATTTCTGAATTTATAATGGTGAAATACTTAAATACCATTTATATAATATATTTATTCATTATTGTTAATATTTTTTCACGCGCATGTATATTATTCCTGTAACCAGAGACTTTTCGAATTTTTCATTTATCGTACAATAGTGTAAAAATGTTTAAACAAAGAAATTATTATTCATTAATGCTATTATGAATTGATAATTATTTTGTAGATAAAAAAAAAAAAATTAAAAAGACGCCCTAGGATAATGGGAACGGGTGCAGCAACTGTTATAGATAATTTAATGTATACCTGTAAGCAACAATAAACCATTGCTTATGAAAAAACGATTCTGAGCTGAGTTCAGTTAATAGTCATGCTTTGTCAACAATTTATATGTTATTCTATAGTAAAATAATTAAAAAGTCTTTAACTATTTTCTATGTTATACCGATTTTCCCGTTTTTCTAGCGTTTTTCCCGGTTTTCTCATGTTTTATCCCAGTTTTTCACATTTGCTAAGAAAACTCATGAGAATATCGAATAATAACCTCACTTAAGCACCTCGCCACGCCGATTTTCTTTCAAAAAGACGCTACTCGTATAAATCTCAGGAAGTTTTCTGATAGAAAAAATGCGCACAGAAAAAAAAATATCTTTGTAAAACTATAAGCTTCTTCGCTCCACTTAGAATCTAGAATTAAGTTTTGTATCTTTTATTATTTTTTGTGCTTATTTTGTTTTACTACATTATCGATATTAATTTGATTAAATTATGTTAATTTTTAAATAAGGAAATTAACTTTATTCTTGTACGCATTTTTTAATTTAAAAAAAAATCTAGTTTGAATACAATTTTATAGGAACTTTTTACATCAATATTGTATAGACTTTTTAATGCAATATATAACTTCCAATCTCCTATACTATATCTACGTGGAATGAACCAACATTCCATTCTAACCTTTTATTTTTTCTGTTTCTAAATAAAAGGATATTTATCAAAATCACGCGTAATGCTTATAGATAAAGTATAAATTCAAAGTATTTTAGAGCGATCACCGAATGCCAAATGCCTTTTGACTTTTCAAACTTGGTCGAATATCGGCCTGCGGCCTTTGTTCTCGCTATACGTGTATGTATATATTATTTTGTTACTGACTTATATATATATATCATTTTAATGAATATTATTATACTATACTATAGTATAAGAGATAAATAATTTTAAGAAAAACGTCTGCAATTGAAAATAATAATATCTACATGCATTTCGACTGAATTACTGCATATTTTTATTATAGCGATGATAAATCTCAGAGTTGATCATCGCAGTATAAAATATTATGCAAGTTTTCACGTATACAAATTTAAAATATTAATATTATGCATATTAACGGTCATTTGGAACATATTTTTAATTTTGACGATAATATTATATTATAATGAGCTGATATAAATGGGAATATTGAAGTAGCATAAGGTCTTATTGAGTAAAAGTACTCTAGTTGTTCATTAATTGGACTGGAAGTCTATTAAGGCCTTTTTTAAATCTAAATAATCGTTGTGTGAAAACTGCATTCCAAAATTCGCAATCATATGGGAGATGAAGCGCACAAACAGACAAACTTAGTTACTATTAGGTAAGTTGCTCATACTGCAACAGTTTTTATAATTTTATAGGATGCTCAACAAATATTTCAGAAAACAACACTTATCTCAACTCTATTATTTGCACGTGTTATCGACATTATTTATTTCCTCGAATCTTAAATAGAAGCGATCCCCATCACCTTTTTGCTCTTATCGAATATACTATAATCTTCATTAAAAAATAACATTCATAAAACTCTATTAGTTCGTACATATCTCAATAACAACTATATTGTTAGGTTCAACCACGAATTTAAGCTGTAGACTCTTTCTGGTATCTTCTCTCTATTTACAATAATATACGTTACCCATATAATATTAATTTTGATACAAATATAATGATATGCTTAAGTATATTTTTAATTAAAACGCAAGTGTTAATTGATTAAATTTTATCAGCGAAATGTTACGTTGACACTTAGCTATAATATTATAATAATTATAATTGCAAATTTTAAAAAAGTATATCTTCTTATATTGATGAAGTTTGAAGTTAAATCAATTTTAAAAAAAAAACGTATTTAATTTGAGTATTGTTTTAAGGGGTATTCCAAAAGACGGACATACTTCGCACGATAGGTGAGCCACTATTGTAGGTAGAGAGGAAATTTAATGTATATCTGTACACAACAATTAACCATTACTAACGAAAAACGATTTTGAGCGGAGTTCGTTTAATAGTATTGTTTCGTCAACAATTTATATGTTATATTATTGTGAAATAATTACACATACATTATATGTTTCCTTTAAAAATATTTGTTTAATATTTTACATATTTTACATCAATATGGCATAAAATAAAAACAAGGATGCACTAATAAAATGCTTAAGTTCATAATGTCCATACGAATTATTTAAACTGAATCACAACTAAAAACAAAAATGAAAATACTAAAAGAATTATTTTCGTAAATATTCCCATTTTTCTTAGGTTTAATCTCGGATGTTCCCAGATATTATGAAAACCGCATAAATTTAAAAAATAAACTTACTAAAGTACCATCTAAACAAAATTTCCTTTCAGAAATGGTGCCGTACTTACAAATCGAAACAAGATTTCTAGTAGATATTTTTATCACAGTGTAAAAAAAAAAAAATAATAATAATAAACATCATTGTAAAACCAATACATTCTTCACTACACTCGGAATCTAAAAAAATAAATATCATTGTTAAACCAATAGATTCTTTACTAAGCTCCGAAACTTCTGTCATAATATATAAAACGCTGTGCAGGTAAGCACCTGTATTATTATTTTTTTTTTTATTTAATAAAAATAAGAATAATCAATCAAAGAACAAAAACAGAATTGTATAATGTAAATATCGATTCACAAAATAAGTTTCAATAAGTATACCTAAATTGACATTGTTCTCGGGAATTTAAAGTGTAATATTATATTTTTGTATACGGTGTATTACATTGCAAATAATTTATAGTGTCTATAAACTATAAAAAATTATAAATGCATTAAGAACATTATTTTTTTATTCGCATTGACTTTTCATGTCCATTGTTTCAGAAAATATTACAAAATCAAATGAAATTATTTTCCTCTTTGACGATTTATAATAAAATGATTTCACAATATCCACACATGCTTTAAAATATTGAAGAATACTCAATAGAATATACAGAGTGATTAATCAAACGTAAGATACTCATTATCTCGAAAAGTATTTAAATTAGGTATAAGATAAATATTAGAATTTGTTTCATAGACAATTTAAAAAACAAACAGTTCTAAAATTTTAAAATTACATTATTTTTTGTCACTCTATTTTTAGGGGTAAAACAACTACCTAATTTTGATTTTCAAATAGCAAACTATATTAAAAATATAATAAATCGATTGAAAATTAGTTAAAATAAATTTTGATGTTGATATTTTTGATTTCCGTCAATCCGTTGACGAGGTATTCCATTTTAAGGTTGCGGTCGAAGGAGAGTAGTGAAATATTATTTGTGTGGCGGCATGGCAAGTGGCATTTTAATAATGCACCACTTCTCTCCACCGGTTTTACCCATAAAATTAAGGATGACAAAAAACAATTTAAATATAACATTATAGAAATTTTCGTTTCTTAAATTTTCTATAAACTGAATTCCAAATAAAGTTAATACTTTCCGAGATAATGAGTGTCGTACGATAGATTGATCACCCTGTATTTCGAAAACAAACTCAACAAGTAGTACATCAATAATTTCTTTTACGGTCAGCGTAACCTAACATAACATAATCTAATCTAGTTACGTAGCATATTAATACTACAATAATATTACACAAATCATTTCACATTCGTGGAATAAGTGAACAAATAAAAAAAATAAATATACGAGCGCATAATAGAAAATGTTAATACGCAGTCCGAAGACAATACGATTATTATTTTTTATCATTTTATAGTTTTCGTATAATATGGTAAAACTAAATTTATACTTTGAACTTTAGAACACTTGAAAACTAATTGGATTCTATAATTACAACGTAAAGAATAAAATCAAAAACGATAAGACAAACAAATGTTAATCGTAACGAATTATCAATTTTAATTCATTGTTTTTTTTTCGGCTTGCCTGTAATGGTTGCAAAAGTATTAAATCGATTGATAAAAATGAGTTATTTATAACGTATTACTAATATAGAACAATGTGTGAAGTATATTTTCAAATTATTTATTTACATGTTATTTTTTTAATAAATTAACTCTTTTTTTGGATTTTGAATGCTACGAAGCATATTATATTAGTTTTACATAAATGTGTATACATTTTTTGTATGTGTTTGTAAACTTTAATACCAAACATTTGAGTATAGGTATACAGGTATACTATAGGTTCAATAATGTTAAAATGATAAATTTAATGATTAACTAATTCGCATCTAATATCCTATCCACCAAGCGATTAAGCATTCAGCGTAAATGTTACATGCGTGGGTAATTTTCTAATGGAGGAAAAAAATTAAAAGAAAAGTTCCGAGACAACCAATTTAAGGGCCCCGTTTTCAATAACAACTATAAGAAAAGAATAATGATAATTATACGTAAACAGTTTTACACATGAAATTTAATATTATATTACACTGTTTATAAAAAATTTGGGAATTGACTAGCCTTTGAGTTGAGTCTTATTAAGAGAACGCCTCAGGCCTGGACCGTATTAAGAGGATGCCGCAATCGTATTTATTGTTTCAGTCTAATCAACAACAGGCAAAATAGCTAAATTATGTTACTTTAATCATACAAATGTAGCTTTAGGTTGATTAGGTAAATTAGAGTTTAAACACAAATTACATAATTTAAAGAGGACAATACAATGCTATTTTTTTAAAATATTTGCCGAAAATAAAAAAAACTAATATTAATGTAACTTTAATATTTGATAACATTAGAAAAACAGCAATATACTGTCTTTAAAAATAATGTCTTATTTAAATTAATTTAATTTTTCTTTGAACTTTAATTTCAACCGAAATACCTCAATAATTTATGTTCTATTTAATGCAATTTTGCTCTCTCCATCTAGCTGCATTCGTGTTAAATTATACACTTTTTATCTCTTATCTTATCATCTGCCATCGTCAGTGTAAAAAATAGTGCGAATTCTATATGCCGGTATAGTCAAGGGTAAACATTATCTTCAATATAATATGTATCTTAGATACTCATTTTTAAATACCTTGTCCCTGAGCACCCAAAAGAGGAGAAATCTAAGTTCCCTCAGGTTTTTTAAAAACGACGTTGAAAATAAGTATAATCGTACAAATATAGAAGAAATTGTTTAGAATTACAAAACAGTTATCAGTTAAATAACCAACCCCTCTTTTAAGGTACAACATGCAAGAAATATTTAATTTATATTTTAATTTGAATGTATATATTATTTAAGTACAAAATACATAAATCTTACATTTTAAGTATCGAGTATCTTTTATTTTTTTTTTTTTTATATATATATATATTACATGAATAAGGTTTAAAAATATTTATATTTGAACTGGCAAATTTCAAAAAATCATTTTATAGAATTTATTTTCTGACAATTTTGGCATTTCAAAGTTTTATTTGCATTTAATTCGTAATTTTTAATAATTTTTTAAAGTTCAGAGAAAAAAAAACGATATACTTCGCACGATGGATGAGCCACTGTTATAGATGAGAAGTTGGAAAGGTAGAGGGGAAATTTAATGTACATCAGTATGCAACTATTTATTATTGCTAACAAAAAACAATTCTAAACGGAGTTCGATTAATAGTGTTGCTTTTATACTTTGATATTAAAATAATTATAAGAAAAATTTTACATAATACTCAGTTTATTTTTTTTTTTACCACAAAGTACGATTTAAAATTATCCCACTGTTAAATTTTCCAGCATTTCTGTTTGATCGAACAAGTTTATCCACAAAAAAACTACTGAACAAAAATTACGTAATAATTAATTAATAATAATAATCAATTAGCAAAAGCTATTGACCTCGTTGAAACATCAACATTTTCTGAAGAATAAACTGTATGAAATGGACATCTTCAAATTTTTAAAAAAATAATAAAATAAAAATATTTTTTTTAATTTTCATCAAAACATACAAATTTAATTCAAATTTAAATATTAATTGTAATTCGTATGTATGTAAGTAATGTATATATATATAAAACAGAATTCAATTATCTTTATTATCTCCAAAGATAACACAATCGGTATATCTTCGAGGGATATCATATATGTATTGTATCAAAATCAATGCATCTAGTATCAAGTATCTAGATACTTACTAATTTTTAAGTATCCTACCCATTTCTAGGGGTAGTGAAAATTACCTACACAAGTGTAAACAAATCACAACGTCGACTTTAACGGTGACACGGGATATATTTTATTTGATAAGCATTTTGCATATGATATGTACTTAAGTTATATAATTTCTATCAAATTAACGATAAATTATGATATAATGACAACTATATATCACTGATCACTTCATAATATAAAACCAGGTATACTTATTGTGGAGTGTAATATCGTCATAGAAATTAATATGAAGTGCACACGAATATAGTTAGATGGAAAACGCTAATAGACATTCACCATTAAATGTTTACATATAATACGGAACGAAAAAATACCCGAGAAAAGTGTAGATGTATAAACAATACTATAGTAAAAAACACTAGTTAGAGCCCTGCTATGTCTTATGTAATTATATCTTATAAAAATTAGAATTAATTTTAAAACCGTTCATAATACTTATTTATTTTATTTCCTAGATTCCAACCAAGACCAATATAAATATACATTTATAATTTTAGATTTCTAAATATAAGTTGATATAAAAATAATATTATTAATGAATCATTCAAATTTAACTAATACTAATCAACTATGGAACGTCTTTCGAGTCGTTACACATTTATATAGAGTATACAATATTACTCTCTGCACTTTCCATAAAACAATATTCAGGTAAAACATTTTCCTTCGTGACTGCATTTGTGCAATCCAATTTGCACTATACTTGCGTAACAATAAAGATTTTAGATACCTAATTCTTGTTTATATTATTTAAATTATATATACTAACAGATTGAGGTTTTTATTATTATTATCACATTATTGACGACAGAAAAAACAATAGACCAAGTAATGGAAAAGAAACTTCTCAATCTCGATTATTTACTCTTAACAATCGTATCGACATTTGTTTTTGTTTTTTATAATTTTTTAATAGTAAAAAAAGTCCGATATAAAATGAATTTTTATAATAAACTACATTAATTGATATTAAAAAAAAAAGTGAAAAAAAAACTCAATACAGATTTACTTGTTATACTAATTTTATTATTATTAGTATCCACAGACCGGTATAATAATTATTTATTCTTTATGAACTTTACTTACAGAGTACAAAGTTTCCATTATGACGAAAAAAATTATTTTACAATAATGTTTTGTCTACGCACTCTTTTGGTTTCTCCCGACCATTCATTATTATATGCTACATCAGAAATAAGTGCATATATACATATAGCCCAATTCGATTTTCTGAAATTCTAATCATTAAATCCTACTACACATTGTTATATAGGTACGTAAGCACAAGACAAAGTATACAAATTTTATTTTATCATAATTATTAATCAACAATACTAATTGTAATACAAAATCCATGCGAATTCCGAACACCGATACGAAAATCAAAAAACTCAATACGACTCGAGAAATTTTTTATTTTTGAAACTATATAATTGAATTGTGTTCCGTGTTTATGGACACGCTTGAATCTAAAAAGACACGTCGTTGGTTTATACGCTTTTGCCTCGCTCTTTGAAAATTACATCGGTTACCCTTCAATACCGTTATCACATCAAAATATTTCAGTAAATTAGATATAGTACCTATATAATTTAATTTTTAACGATTTTGGATAAAATTATAATAAATAAAATATTGTGGAAGAAGACAATCGGATGCGTGTCTAACGCCAATTTGAAAAGCAATTATATCTAAGATATAAAAATGATCACTTTAGTGCTTAAACTTAAAAAGTAGTTAATTTTACCTTAAGATTAAGTAATGTCCTGAAAAGCTGACATTTTAAAGAGATGTACTACTGAAAGTTATTTGAAAAGAAAAACTACATAGGTGCAAATAAAGGGTAAACCGAAAAATATGTATGATATTAGTAGAGAACATTTTTGGCTAAGAGAGTGAGACGTAAACATTTAACAATTTTTTTTTTTCGATTTGTGCCTATTCGCGGATAGGTTTGGAAAGCGAATAAGCCTCAACCTCTAACTTACTTGTGTCTATAATATTTCAAAAAATTCAAGGTGTGGGATTAATTTTTTTTTTTTTTGTAACTATTCAGTAAGGTGAGGTAGGCAGTCCACCAAAATATTCTAGTCTCAAAAATGTTATACTATAGTAAAATTTAAACCATAAATATCTGTTACAATTTCGATAAACGATGATAATAATTGATAAACGTATTCTCAAAATCTGCTAATAAAATTAATTATTATCTATGACAATATGTGGTTATTTAGAAATATAAGTACAGCTGTAGCATACTTGCACGCATATCATAAATGATATTCCATAAACTCAACAGGAGCTGTAGGGATCGCTATTATACATTTTCAACAAATATACACTCAATAAAGCTAAGAGGGTGAAATTATACCCCTTGGTCTTCATGAATATAATAATTATGCCGAGAATATTATATACGCGATAAATTTAATATGGAAAAAAAATTATTTAAGCCATTGTAAAATACGTCCACAATGAATAATTGACCCCGGCAAATTTTGATTTCAATTATAAGTGTAATAATATATAATAATTTGCACCCGTCAAATCTAAGGGATATCAGTACCTATTAAAAAAACTGGTTTTAAAAAAAATAAAGAAACTCCGATTTTACTAAATGTATTTTAATTTCACATTTTTAATCGAACAAATTTTTGAAGAATAGCGGAAGCTGCATATTCTTGTGATGTCTTCTTCTAAGAAAATGCTAAATAGTTAGTATAAAAATAATTTACCTATTTTGAAACGGAAAAAAAAGCTGGGTGAAATTTATTACATTACAAATTTATATTTTCGAACGTACTTAAGGTATTGCATATAGACAATTTGCTAAAAATTTTAACAACTCAAAAATATTTCAGTTCACTTTTAAATGCATACCAGACAAGTAGTACCATTTCATTACCACAAATATTTATTGTGTAACCTTGAAATTTAAATGTTTACAAAAAACAGTTTCTCGTAGACAAAAACTAAACTTGGACTATGGATTTTAGTTAGGAACCAAATTTTCATAGTAAAACAAATTTAAATTGTACTGCGCAACGTTAGTTTTAGTTTTTCGATATCAATATTAAAAAATTACCATTCAAGTTTAAAAACCTAAAACTATCAGATTTTAAACAGTAATTACTTATTTTTTATTTGTAATATCGAAAAAATTTAAAAAAACGTAGCTTAGTGCTTGTTCTTCTTTTTTATGGTGAAAATCTAAATTATTAATTATGTATATTACCCGAATACTTTTTCTCGCACAAAACACGTATTGTTAAGACTTTATATTTATTATATTATTATATTTATATTGGGAACAATATACGTATGCCCATAATTTGCTAACACTATACTACATCGATTATAATCTATAAAAATCGACAAAACACGAACTCTTGAACCACTCTGCACACAACAGTTAGAAACTACTATGTCGAACAAATACGCGGCCTGTCTGTGCGATCCATGTATGCTGCACATCCTCGTAACCTTTAATAATAATTCACGGGATACATAATAATAGGCGTTTTAGGCGCTGGGCGTAAACTAGACGATTTATTTTCTGTCAATAACAGTGTGCGGCGGTGCAGGTTGTTGTAATAATATTGATTCGCTCCTGTATAACCACGAAAATGATACTTCGATTTTGTCTAATCCCCCCCCCTGCCTCCTCGTATAATAATTCATCATAATATATAATATTAATATATGTATATTTTTTTAACTAATAACATCATTAAAAAAACACATTTTCGAATATCGACACTTTCGCGGTTTCCCGAGTTGGCTATAAGTATATACATATACCTGTATATATATATGAAATATGAAAACGGAAAAGCGCGGTCATTCTACACCCTATACATATATATACATTATATAACTTATCGAATTCTTGTAAAGTAAAACTTAAAACAAAAATAGTAAATCGTCAGAAGAATTAATTAAACCCTTCAATAACGTGATAAACTACTTTTAATGAGACTGGAACCGGAACCTAAACAGAGCCATCAATTTAATTATAATGTTAACAAAAACTAGAACCTCAGCAAGAGCGTTCAATGAAATAATTGAGAACCGGAGATCACAAAATAATACAAGACGTATTAAGCTCAAAATACCACATGTATTTTTTTTGGGTTGGATACTTTGATACATTAACGTTGAAACATAAATTTATATCATAAATTGAGTTTTTACTAAAATACTTAAAACCAAACGACTTCATAAAAAGTTTTAAGTAATTAAAAAATTACTACATTTTTTTTATATTTTCTAATGGTGAAAATATGTATTTTAAAACAAGTTTTATAATTATTACAAAAACTGTTATGTTTCTTTATTCAATCATTCAGAATATGAATGTATATCGTTTAACTAAAAAAACGTCATCATTGTATTACTTGTAGATTTTATGGCAATAATAAAAATTTAAAAAAAGAGTTGATTCTGTTGATGGATGTAGATAAGAATTTTGGAAGTAAAGATATGTTTATTTATTTAATTTATATTTCTACGTAACGTATAAAAATTGTTTCTAACGAAAAACGACTCTGGCGATGTCCGGTTAATCATATTTTGAAATGATTTTTACGATTTAAGCTTAAACCGCTTATCAAAAAAAAAAATTACTAAAAATTATGATGTACTTTGAAAAAGCTCACATTATAGTAAAACTAATCGCTGAGAAACCCTTGTACAAGCCCGTATACAGTATAAGATACATTTATTAAAACACAATTATATAATATGAAAATGAAAATGAGAACCGCCTGTAACAATATTAACAAATTAACATTTCTTTTCGATTGTCCGAATAATGATTTTTACATTATTTACAACATTTTAGTCTACGAATAATAAATAACCCTTTACTAAAACAATATTGTCAGAAAATAATCGTTTTAAAAGATCATTTAATATTGCATTTATAATTAAATAAAACGATGCGCAGTTTTTTTTTTTTTTTTTAGGCGTATAAAATGATAACAATTTATTTTCTCGGTGTCTACGCTGTTAATTAAACGAAATATTTTTATAATATTCTATAGTAAAACGTTTACAATTAAAATAATATTTTGAATGTATAATAAAAAAGATGTTTAACTAATGAAAAGCCAAATACCATAACTGCATAATAAACAGGAGATAACGGAAAATCTGTTGAATTTTTAACACTAAGTAATTTAAAATAAAATAAAAAAATCAATAAAGTAAAAACATGTAAATAAATGAAGGAATAAGTTTCTCTTAGAGTTGTACTTATTTCAACTTGAGAAAATAACTCGTATAATATTATGTAAATATAAGTAGGTATGTACGTAGATAGGTAAATAATACTTTAGCATTTAATAAAATACTAATTTTAGTTTAGATTTGGAGCGTAGTGAGGGATCTATTGGATTTACTATAATGTGTGATTTTTTTTTTTCATTTTTTTATCTGTCTTTAAATAACTTTCCAAAAATAAATCTTGCTCATATCGATACGGTACAGTACCTTTTGTGAAAGGAAATTCTGTCTTGTTGGTACATAGGAGAGATCATTTTTTTGATTTTCTAAGGTTTGGTCGAAATAATTGGGAAAATCCCGAAAACAAATTATAGATAAAACGGTAAATATTTACGGCACGCCTTGGCGTTACCATTTTCATTGATTTTAATTATTGCTACTTATGTTTTCTACCATAAATATTGCTCCAATCAAAAAATGAAAAGATATTGACTTTATTCCCCTTAATATATATCCACTGAAAAAGAAAGTCATTTTTAATAGGTTTTCATAATAATTGAGAAAAACCAAAATGGACGAAAAATACTATTTTATACTAATTACAGCCAACGTATCTTTTACCGGTTCCTTTATTTTAAATTTGTGCGGCTTATATTTTCTACCAGAAATATTGCTTCAATATAAATATAACAAGAGATCTTTTTTATTGAATTTTTATCTAGTTAGTGACCATGAAAGTCGGTTTTTGATTAGTTTATTTTTTTTTGTTTTTGGAATTTCTTTTACTTTTCATGATTTAAACTTATACTAAAGGAAATTTACCCAGTGAAATTTATATAATTTCTGAAAGAGATAGGATTTATATAAAATGGTATTAAGGAAAAAGGGGATGGAGTAGTTTCCCCTAGGATACATTTTCATTATTTTCTCACACCCTCCAAATATTTTATCAATTCATACAACTTTTTGTTTTTTATTTTTTTTTTTGCAATATCTATAATATAGTTACCAATTTTAATTAATTTTTCTCGATCAAAATTAAAACAACATAATTATCTATTAAACATAACATATTAAACAATATATTATTATGTAGCCGTTATATTAAAAAAAAAAATAGTGTCTTCGTTAAATTTAACATTGAGTAATATATATTTAATTTGTATGACATATAAGACAATACAAAGTCAGTGCGAGGATCAAACACTAATATCCTCACATGTATGAAACCTAGGTGAGAAGGTGCACAATGCACATCGTGTCTGATAATAGAGAAAAAATGTTGCAATTATATATTCAATTATTCAACACAATCTAAATATGTTTGTATCCAACGACCCATATATATTTAATAGATCCATCGTTTAGTTGAATTTTAGAAAACAAGTTATGATAGGTAATTTTTAATTAATAATAATAATAAAATTAAAATAAACAAAACTATTAAAACTTGGTGATAATTATTTTGTGGTCATACTTTGAATGAAAAAAGATAAAAACACAAACAGAAAAAACATTTTGACAGCGTCCAAATGAATCGACGCAAAGGTGCACACGTTTGAAAATATCGATATTTAAAATCAGCTTTCAGTATATTTTTATGCGTCACAGTAAGTAACTACTTATTTTTTTTTATTAAGTTCCTGTGCAATAAAGTTTTTTTTATTTGTATCGATTTTTATTTTTTCAGTGAGAGTTAATTTTAATATTAAATTTTAATAACGCAACATATTTGCGTGGAAAATTTAAAAAACCGAGGCGTACAGGAACAATAACAATAATTAATCAAGATTGATCACACCATAACAATATAATATTATCACAATCACGCGTGGAAAACAACAGACCACTATGAAATTACATAAGACGTCCCCAAATAAGTTTCGACACCTATACATCGATACGGAAATTATTATTCGTCAATTAATCATTTTGATTTTCTCCGAAAAGTCGCAAGTCTCGAACAAAGAATCGGTTTTTTATTGTGTACAGTAACAAAGAGAAACACAACTAGAATTGCATTTACACCAAGATACAGAAAAGTTTTATTTTATATGAAAATATATTTTTAACCACACATCTGATTTATAGGAAACCAAAACGCGCATTTAGTTTCACAACTTCAGCAATATATATATACTATATTATATTATAAAACATATTACATAAGAACCTTAATTGAATTTTTAAAGACCAATCTAATGACACTCCACACAATGTGAGATAAATAATATATCCAACCCTTGGTGTTTTTCATATAAAGCTACCGACAAATTATTTTCGTAATTTTTGTCTATCGTACGGTAGGTCAAATTTGACAATTTCTTGATAAATTTCATCAAAATGTGTGGCGTAAAAAACAGAGTTTTATAATAAGCCTAGCTGTGACATACGGACAGATATGACAAAGTTATAAGGGTTACGTTTTCGCCATTAGAACTAAAGAACCTAATGATTAAGTAATCTTCGGAAAAAAAATGTGAATAAGTTATTTTTTTTTGCACAATTGTTAATATAATTAAATTATTTTGAATATATATTATTTGTTTTTTTTTTTTTCATATATTACCATATTCAACTACACTTCACATATCATTCGGATTTATCTTGCGTTTCAAATGAAAAATTAATTACAATTTGAAAAGCAAGCTTGTATCGTATAAATAGAAATAAAATAAAACAGAATCAGCTGTAAATTGGAAACAGGTAAACTTTTATGTTCGGTGGGAATGAGACCGGATTACGGTTATAAGACTATGACCGGCTATATACTCTTTGCAAGACTCTTTTACGCTTTTTTCTTTTTTAATGTCAAAGTTTGTAAATATATATTTTGTCAATAATGGCAGTAATGGCAGCATTCATCATAAACTGGGTGTTTTACGAAGATATATTGATACAAAATGATCTTTGCAATATTTTGGAAAATGTAAACTTTTTTAAAATTTTTTTTACAATTGAAGAAAAAAGTAACTCTAAAATGTTGTATAACCATTATTTTTTCTAAAATTATAATTCATTAGTTTTATAGTTTTATAATTATATTAACAATACAATTTAGTGTCTTTTTCGGGGTATCTCTGTGGATCCTCCAAATAACAGTTATCTATTTCCGATGTAAAGAAGGTAGGTAGTATGTTTCATTTTATTTTGTATGTTCTATTTGTATAGCTTAACACTATAATTTCTATATATAGAAAAAAAAAAAGTGTTTACAGAATTTCTTGCAAATATATGATCATTGCAATTTAGATTCAGAGCGTAGTGAAAGATCTATTGGTTTCGAAACAATGAAACCAGTAACGTTGCAGCTCACCGTAAATATTTGACATAATTTGTTTTCCGGTATTTCCAAGTTATTATGAAAATCTCTTGGAAAATCAAAAAATGACCTCTCAATATACCAACCAAATAAAATTTCCTTTCAAAAAAGATGCTATACTTCATATATTGGAACAAAATGTCTGGTAGAGAAGTTACTCACTGTAGACACAAAAAAATACAGACACTAATAATTCTTTAGCTATACTCAGAATCTAAAAAAAAAAACTTTAAAGAAAAAAGAAGAAACATTATGGACCCCTTCGTCTTTTAGTATGGAGCCTGGAGTAACAAACCCCTACCCACTTCCCCCCTTCCAATTAAAAAAACTGACTTTACGAAAATAATATGATAATGTAAGAGATCTACGTAAATTGTATGTTCCATTAACTAATCCTAAAATAGTATTAAAACGAACAACAACAATAAGAGTCACATGCGTGATATAAGCTTATGTACATATGGTTTTAATTCGTCGCCCGTCACTACTGCTGCCTCCTCAACCACCACAGTTCCTATGGATACGAGGACAAGCCTGAGCGATTTCTGCAGGTGCGAAATGTTATACGTGATGATGACACGCGTATTCGATTCTTAAATTTAAAAACGAACAAATTGACATCACGGTGGACTTTAATCGATAGACAAATAAAGGAAACACAAACATCAGCAGCATATGTCATCCACTCGAATGTGAAAATACTATTGCTATATAAGCTATTACATCGTCTAAATAAACGGGAGACCGTCAATAAGGTTTTTTTTTATATATATATATATATATATATATATTATTATTATTATTGATTTTTTCATGTGTGCGTCATTATTTAAAAAAGAATTTTTGGAACTCAAAGATTAAAAACTTCTATTGTCAAATCATAACCTGTATACAATTGAGTATATTATATATAACTAATTGTGAAATGTGTTTTTTTTTTTTATTTATCAAAGATTACAGTATTATTGTTACCCATTTACGGAGATCCATCCCTAGATTATTAAATATAGGTCAAAATGTTAATATCTTATAAACGTCATCAATTGTAACTTCTTTGGTATATCAGCCACTGTAGGGTAGAGATTGAAATACCATTTATTACAGCATACGTAGTAATAAGACTGTGAAACACGATATTAAGGTTTATGACATGACGAGAAATACATCGGTTCATTTTTTTTTTTTTTTTTTTGTCCGTTTTCACTTTATATTATTGTCTCGGCGATTTTATGGTGGAAATATGTATCTAATATCATATTTTAGATAATAAATTGACCGTTTATATATATGCGTAATAGTTTTAAGTGCCAGTTTCGAATTTCAAATTGTTAAAATGACCTTTACAGAAAACGAAAAGAATTAACTTTTAACGAAATCAATTTTGTTTAATATTATATGTACCTACATATTATTGATTGTAAGGTTGTATATTATAATCAGTCACAAAATAATAATTTCAAATAGTTAAATATTGTCACCGAATAAATAAAAAAAAAAATTAAAATTAATAATCATTATAGTAAAAAAATCTTTACAATTTATTTCATTTGAGAAGTGTAATAATTATTTTCTCAGTATAGAAAGTCAATATTATTAAATAACAAATTATCTCTTTGGATAAATAATAAAAATATTATTTTAAATTATAAATAATATTTTTCAAAATCTGAAAATATAATGCACGACGAATGCAATTATATTATTAATTTATTCCCAGTTTTTCTACAAGTATGAAAAAGAAATTTGATCGAATCTAATATCGTTTAAGGCAGTGGCGTATCCAGAAGAAAAAAATAAAAGGGTTCCCCCTATATTTGTTGTGTTAAAATTAAAAAAAGAAAAAATAATAACATAAACTCTTTACCATTAAAAGCTTGTATAAATAAAATAAATACCATTGCGCATTTTTGCACTATGTTTACAAACTCGACTATAATTATAAATAATTGTACTACACAATTATGCATTTTCCTCAAGTGAACGACTTTATCTAATAGTAGATGTAGAGATATAAATATTTCAATGGCAAATCCTTGGTATACCAGTATACCACCTATAATACACCAATATATTATTATTTTTTCAAAAACATTAAAAGTAAACATAGATAAAAATCAAAATTTTACTCGACAAAAACCTTAAAATTCATGTAAGTAATTACGAAACTATTGACGTATGATTTAAAATCCAAACGAATAAATAAAACATTTTCTAGCACCTATACCTAGTTATTTTATGGCATTATCACAGAGAACGCGTAAATCACCTGAAATATAAATAATCATCAAACTCATCGAATTGTATATAAACTGATATAAACAACTAAAATGAAGTTATGGTCTATTTCTTGACGATTTGTGAATTTATGTAAATATCTGATCTCATTTTAAGGTGCGTTTGAACATATTTTTTGGTGCTTTAAATAAAACTCTAATCATCGGTCATAATTTTAACTCCTACATTTTAATTTTGAATAGTTTAATAATCCTGGAAGTATTAGGTACATATAGATTCGATTTAAATAATTGCGGTAAACATGAAATTTACCAAAAACACAGTAGTATAGTGATAATAAAAATATTCAAATATCTTCGAGCTAGCTACAGTTACATAAAACATTGTACACACTAGCCACCCCGAATTCAATGATGCCGTTATTCTAAAAGTCCTTAAAATAAGAACGGACCTACTGGTAGTAGAAGACGTAAACCTATTCATATGATCCATTTCACGTAGTTATAATTAATTCTACAATTAATATTGAATGTAAAATATTATAATGTAAATTAAAATAAAAAATAAAAGAATACAATTTAATAATATTTTAATTACAGTTTAGAATATCAGGTATTTTCACGGTCGAAAACTAATAAATAATCTAAATTTTACTTTATTATATTTACAATTTTACTGTAGTTATGATTAATACTTTATCAGCTACATAAAACGTTTTCGATAATATTTTAATTTTTTTTATAAAACTCATCTAAATAACACGTGATCCTTCAATTTCCCCAATGACTGTGTAGTATATATACTATATAATAAGTATATTTATAAATTTAATAATAATAACAATTAAATAAAAAAACGCAATAAACGGCTTTAAACCAAACCGTACTATCGATAAATTTATAATAACAATAACTAACCGTCTTGGCAATGAAAATTTGAATACAATAAATGATAAGTATTTAAAACGTATACCTACCTACGTAGAATAAAAAAACCCTATAATAAAACGTGTACAAGAATAATCGCTGAATAATATAAAGTAAACCGTTTTAATTTAACAAAATTAATTATGCAGTATAGGTAATCGATTATCATTGTTTGTTCTTTGAGAAGTTTGATCGTACCTAAATAAATTTAAATAAGCCAATCAAGGCCAATTTTGCGACGAAGCCGCCGTTGATTGTCAAATAAACGCACGATATTATGGCCCGAAAATCGGGAAAATATTTCTAAGTGACACAATTTTTTTCCCCCTATCAGTTACTCTTCGGACTTATACAAGTGAATAAACATAAAATATAATATAATTAATCAATATGATTATTATTAAATATTAATCGATTATTATTATTATTATTATTATTATATTTACATATAGGGTATATATGAACGATTTGTTTTGTTAATGGTTTCATTTCATAATAAGTAATTAGCGGTTAAAATTAAGAGATGTTAAAACACGCATATTTTGATGACAAAAAAAAAACATTCGTTAAAAGCCTAGTCAAATATCTTCATAGTAAAATTTGTAATTTAGACCCCTTGCCCTAAAATCAACCAGTGTCGCAATCGTGGAAACACGAAATTTCTTTGTCACGAGACGGACAGAGAAAACAAATGTCAGTACTCAATGACGTTGAAGCCTCTTCATTATATTTTGAAATAGCATACACACACGCGTGTTGGAATATTCTCATTATTAATTTGAAATTATTATTTAACGAGTTTTGAAAAGCGATGTAGGTATACATGTACCTATAAGCCGGATAAACAAGTAGGTACCGTTACGATATTACAATTAACCACATGATGAATAATTTGCATATCTATTTAGTATATATGTGTGTATTATTTACCGAAATAAATTTTACGTGTAATTATTTAGTCAAATTATTTTAGTACTTCAATGTAAATGTAATATGATGTACCTAAACATTTGTCCCACCTATCTATATCATTATTATTATTTCACTTTAAATTCTGAACGAAACAAGGAATATATTATTTTCACTATAATATGTTTTAAATATTTTTTTTTTTTTTTTATGTCGGTAAATAATGTTTTACCAAAAATCTTGAACGAGTCAAAAACTTTATAGATAGTATCTTGTAGCATTTATGTGATGCATATCTTGTTGACACATTTAGAAGGTAGTTTTTGATTTTTCAAATAAATTTCTAAATAAATGAGGGGAAAAGGCAATTTTTTGTTGTTTTCTGGGTTACGTTACTAACATAGCAAAAATACGACTAATAATACTCTGTTCAGAATCGTTTTTTATTTGCGATGGTTAATTGTTCTGTACAAATATAAATACAATTACTTTATATATACTCTCTTAAAATTTCCCTCGTAAAACAGTAGTACACTAATCAGTAGCAGTATCAACTTGTTTTTAAACTATCTACTTCAGAAATACACCCATAATTTAAAGTTCCTAAAAAATATAATATTATAAAAAAAAACAATACTTTTATGTTGTATAAAAAAATTAATATATTTTGGTAATAGTGAAATATTTATTTATATAACAAATTAAATTTTGAATGAAAGAAAACATTTTCTATTTCCAAAAATACAGAAGAATATTTTTAAATAGTATATAAAACTAATCCAAAAGTAATTAAGAGTAGGTATACTGTTCATGCTGTATTTTTAGAAATAAAAATGTATTTCAACTATTCAAAATTAACTTGAAAAAAGGTTATTTTTTCTACACAATGACTATTTTTGAATTTTTAGCGGTTCTTGCATTTTTTTTATTTTATACCATTATAAAAGAGAGGCTATTAGTTAAATATTACATTTAAAAAAATTGCACTATAATACCTGCATTATATTTCGAATTATAGCTAATGAATTCTCAATTAATTTACATATATATACCATATAATATAATATATTATTATTATAATATGTAAAGGTGATATAAAATAGTAATAATATTTTTAACTCTAGACATTTCGTATTAGCCATTTTTATTGGGTAATCTATTTCAAACATTTAAGTTTAAACTCTATAATAATATTATAGTGTCAATAAACAAAAAAAAAAGGAAAGTTTTTTTTTACATTATCAAGTAGATAGAAAATGGTATTTACTATTCATATTTTTTATGTTTTCCTCGCTAATAATATTATATCATAAATAAGAATACCTGATAATAATATTTTTATGATTAATAATATCGTTCGGATCCTGTAAATAATATTTATATGCGATACTTAGAATTTCCTAAAGTAATGAACGTATAGAAAATACGAGTATGAGGTAATTTCACCAGTTTCAATATTTCTTTTCATAACATCATTAAATTATTAATGAAGTGATTGTGCTTTAACATATAATAGAAACTAAATTTAAATTTTCACGTGAACACCGTCAAATTATTTTATTAATATTAATAACATACTTTAAAAAAACCTAAAATAGCTAATAAAAATTATAATTTTAACAACATCATTGTTTATTTCGAAATTGGTTGAAAAAATTAGTAACTTGTCATTATTTCAATATAGGCAACAATAGTGCATCGATAATAATATAATCAAAATATATCTTATAATGATCAACATGAATAATTATACACGTGAAGTTATAATAAAGGATGTGGACTATGGAAACTGAAGAGATGCAAAATAATTATTGTACACATTCCAATAGTTTTACTGCATCACTTAACTACTTCTACTTTAAAGTAGCTATATATTATATTTTATATACCTATTATGTAGGTATATAGTAATTTAATAAACGACACATATCCCTACTATATATTAGAAACAAACATTTTCAATCGAATATTAAATACACTTGAAAATATAAAATTAAAAAAATATGGACATACTTCGCATGATGGGTAGACCACTGTTGTAAGTGAAAAGATGGGAAGGTAGAATATAGAAATGAATTTAATGTATATCTGTACGCAACGATTAATCTTTGCTTACGAAAAACGATTCTGAGCGAAGTTCGGTTATGCATGTTTTGAAAAGCCTTTCAAGTAATATTTATGATTTTTGTCAACATTTGATTTTAAAACTCGTATAAAAAAAAAAAAAAAAAAAAAACTAAATTACAAATAATTTTTTTTTGGTCACAAAGTACGACTTATAATGAAACTCCTGTTAAATTTTCAAGCATTTCTGTTCGGTCTAACAATTTTATCTACAGAGTACCTACCAAATAAAAATCACATAAAATACTAATTGAAATCTAGTTTTTAACTTTTGCACTATGTAACACACAATATAATACGTATATAATATATCTAATTCGTTTAAAAAAATATATATAATTTAAATCAATTGAGTTTATATTATAGTTGCATACCTATGTACGTTTTACATGGGAAATGTATCCAAAAACATTTTTAGATTAGGTCAACCCGAAAATTTAGGTGGATTAATACTATACATCTTCACACAAATCGAGTTATCGAGTTTATTGTTAAAATTATCAAAATGCTGATACTACATATGAATGTGCCACGGTGTTTAGGAGGAATGTTAGAAGAAAAGATGTATTAAGTAATTTTAATTATAACTATACGTAACGATAAACTATTGATCACGAAAAACGATTCTGATTAGAGCATTATCAGTCGTATTTTTTTTCATCTAAGGTTGCCAAAATAACCTAGAAATCAATGAATTTTAAATCAATTACCAATTTTTACCTTTCATTAAAAAAATTAAAAGTAAAATCAATATATGACTACAAATCCGCAATTCACTTGCTATCGAAAATTCTACAAGCAAGTTTCTATTTATTTATTGTATTGGAACGAGATTTCTTTTAAAAAGTTGTCTGCAGACACAAAAAAATTGAAATTAAATATATATCAATATATATCATAGTAAAATCAATACATTCAATTCGTTTAGAATCTAAAACACAAAATCGACTTATTAGTTTAAGACTAATTTTATCTTGTATTTTATGAGTTCACTATTTATATAATGATATTTTCTCCAGGTACTTACATTTTTTGTAATATACTTAAAAATTTGTATTTATATATATTTTACTGGCATCATGAATAATAACAAAAACGCCAGACAATATGCATAATTACTAAATGGCTAGGTATTATGAATAATTCCTGAAATAAATTAGGCAATATAATAGATATTGAGCTATCTTCATATTATTAATATAAAAACATAAAAAAATTCATAAAATATTATGATTAATTATTATGATTTTTAATCGGATAATGTGTAGATATTGTAACTTTTATTAAATGTTATAATGTATGAACCAGCAGTTGTATGGCCATATGTGATCTGAAATAAATAACAAATTAAACCTTCAGTTAAAATCAAAGTTTTATTGTAAGTAAATAAAAAGTCGTCAAAAATTAACGAAAAATATAGTGTTTCTCACTGACGATAAATATAGTAAAATGGTGAACCATATAATTCAATTGAAAAGTGGATATAGGGGAAAAAAACAAGAGATTTTTCTATACGAGATAAAAATATAATTTTTATTCATAAGTTTGTTTTATTTCATTTTGTACCTATCTAAATAAATCAATTTTTTCTTGCTTTTTAATGTAAATGCTTTTTATGATTATTCCAATTTTGGCATTTTATTTTTATTAAGTTTATTATGCCATAATAATAAAATAAATTAATTTAGTTAATGAAAAAAGAAAAACTACGCTTTTTACTTATGAATGATTTATGTATCTCAGCCCTATTAATAGTATATTATTTTATTTAAATATAATATTATGACATTAAAATATAATATTGATTTTAAAAAAAAATTGTATTTAGTAAAATTCTACGGTATTATTCATAATACCTAGGTATTTACGTATAATATCTGGATTATACATAATGCCTATAACATATATACATTTCTACAAAAAATAAAATACAAATTTTCACTACTTTTAGATTCACAACACAGCGAGGAATTAGTTCTACTAATGATGTGCGCTTTTACTGTACCTATGTTTGTAAAGAACTTTTCTACCAGAAATTTTGCTCCATACAAAAAATAACAAAAGAGTTTTTGTGTAGCATTATAGATTTAGTTAGTATAGCAATTGGTACAGCAGCTGGTTGAGCCGATAATTTTTTTTTCTTTCAAGCAGTTTTTAATATAATCGGAAAAAACCAGGAATAAACGTAGAAAAACGAAAACGTTTACGGCATTAACGATTTTATTATTTTCAATGTTGAGTTTTAATGTTATAAATCGGTTAGAAATAATTGTAAAGACCTGTAGAATACTTAAATTAGCTTCTTCTAGACGTGGTACAACTTTCAAAACATTTTGGAAATTGTTTTAGCTGGTCAGAAATATTTGAACATTAATTTACATAATGTTTAATACATTGTAAAATGTTTAGTGTAAATTAGTAATTTGTTTAAAGTTTAAATTTTGACCAAAATCGTAAAAGTCACAGAATTTCAAAACATGTTTAAACAAACCTCACTCAGAATCTTTTTTTTGATTCTGCTATATTTAATATACTTTTTATTTAAATACATTTATTTTCTAACGGTATTTTAAGAATATCTAAGGTATATTAATTATATACAAGTTTCTCATGGCGGATTAATTATTTTCTGTACAAATATTAACTTTTTGTTAAATGATTGAAGAATAATTTGTTAGCACCCCGCTCCGGTCATCTACTTCACCACGGTTAATAATAATTACTACAAAAAAATATAATAATAATAATAAGCAATATAAAGTAGGTATATACCACGGAACTTGTCCGAAAAATAAAAAACCGCTCTTATTACAATATATTTCAGTACCAGTATAATTGATGTGTTTTATATATATATATATATTTTTTTTTTTCCCCATAAAATCCACTCGATATTCATAAAAATATATTTTATTACGTTTTAACTATGGGTAGGTTAGGTAGGTAAGTAGGTAAGTAAGTAGTTAGTTAATTTTGTCTATTATAACGATGCAAAGTACCTACCCTCTTAATGATTATTAACTGTTGTCTATATGATGTAAAATGAAAGTATCGTGTCGTTAAAATAATTATCGAAAACACAGTAAAGGACGGCGGCGTCCTGTATTTGGCACAATGCCAATATTAGGCCTAACTATATATTTTTCCAAAAATGAGATATCGTTGTATTAGTTGTATAGTTAAATAAGTAATTTTCACTGTTCTAAAATTTGCATAACAACTAGGTATAAATAATAAATTTCATATTCTCCTCGATATATTTTTATGGTCCAAGGGAAGAAAGGCATACATTTTCTTTTTCTTCCTTCATATATAATTGTGCCTTATGCAATTACCTTTTCTGTTTATTTGTTGGTCTAAATCGCATAAGTATATGTTAATATTCTAAAGTAAGAAATAATAAAAATAAAAATATCTTACTACGATTTATTTACTTAATATGTATCTATGATGTATATTTGTATATTGTACTATTTATATAAAAAAAAAAAGTCTAAGTCATATAGTTATAAATTGAATTTGTTTCTATTGCAAACTATACAAAACTGAAAATTGACTTAAGCCCTTTTTCCCCTGAACCAAAGATTTAATAAATTGAAATAAAAATAAAAATGTTAAATTGTAACCAGAAAAAGGTTTTAAATTTATCCCACTATATATAATTAAAGCATACAAATAAGGATTTTGGTTATTCAGGACTTATTTTAACTTTTTAATATTATTATCGAAAGGTGAATAATGAAAATACTTGCTACAATTATATGTATTATTAAAGTTATTTCAACATTTGGAGAAAAATACAGAAATGATTTTAGTTTTTAGTCAAAAGAAATTTTCGAATGAAAATAATGTAATTTTTAAATTTTTTCTAAGAAAAATTAACAACGAAGGATAACTAAGTCTATTTTTTTGGAAAGAAACGGTCCAGTCCCAATATAAAAGTTTTACGATTTAGTTAATTTCAAATATTATACAAAAATGTCCCTAATTATCAAGCGGCAATTTTGTATATTGTACTTTACGTAATATACCTTGGCGAATGAGATCGGCTTTTTCTCGTAATTATTATTCAAATAACAAATCAATTAGTGGTACGCTTACCGATTACGCACTCGTCATTCATAACGTGAGATTACAGATTCAAAAAAACTCAAAAGTTAGAATACATAGTTATTTAATTTATATCTGTACGTAACAATAATAATGATTGATTAAAATGTCGAGCAGGGTTTTTAGTAAAAAACAAAAATGAAAAAAATTTAAAATAATGAAATCTTTAACTTGATTAAAGCAAGATTTTTGGTAGAAAAGTTATTTACAGGAAAAATAAATGTAACACAAACCACATACACTATAGTAACACCAATTCCTCGTTACGCTCAGAAACTAAAAAACGATGTAATAGCTCGAGTAGATTTTCAAAAATTTAATTAATTTACAAGTAGCTACTTATATATTATATTTCGTATTTACATTTCACTTGCGTTTTAAATTACTCTTTTTGTATACCTACCTTTTTGCTGTAATCGAAGAAGGATCAAAACTATACCGTGCACAGGTAACTTTATGTACACGACAACGCGACGTCTCCAAGCTATGTTAATTTTCACGATTGTTCGCTAAGTATAATCCATGAGGCTCCAGAAAATATACGATTTAAATCAACCGAATATATTAGTTATACACCTAAATGTACGTTTTGCAAGGGAAATGTATATGAAAACCTTTTTAAGTCAAGTCAACACAAAAAAGGAGATAAAATTATAATAATATATGAGACATTTATTTAGACGTTCACACGAGTCGAGTTATCAAGTTTATATAATAGTTGATATAATAAAAAAAACTGATATTGCTGTTTGTTGTGTCATTGTTTTAGAATGGAAGTTTTAAGGGAATATATATTATATATATATATATAAAATATATATTATATAGAGTAATTAAATTTATATCTGTACGCATCAATAAACCATTGCGAAATGTAAACGATTGTAAGCATATTATAATATTGATCATAAGTTTTCCCTAATTGCTAATATATTTAAAAAAATATACAACAAATTGTCAGTTTTTCTAGAATTATTGACAGTAAAATTCAAGAAAAATCAAAAAATGACTTCCTAATGCACTAACTATATAACAAATGCTATCATAAAGTTTCTGTAAAGCTTTTAATTCTAGTAAGATTTATAGTAAGAAAGTTGTTAACAGTTAAAAAAAAAAAAAACATTAAAAACCTAACTTATCCCAGAATTTAATATTTAAACCCGCCTCATAAATCGCGTTCGTACACAATTATATAGGTAGATACTTAAATCGTAAATTGATCTTACCTGGATTGTAGTCAGCGCCCCCTTGCATTCCCGACATTTTCGTGTGTGTGATGTCTTTGTGCGAGGCCAGGAACAACACCACTTCTCGTTTTTCATTTTTGATCGGCACAATGTCCAGCAAACACCAAAACGGAGATCCTAAACAAAGAAAACGAAATTGATTTTCAAGTACCCATACGCATACGTACACATAAAGGTATAGAACTTTATTTCCGTATCAAAACACATAGACAAATAGACTTTTCAAATTGAAAGTATACATATATGTATAGACTATTCGAATCATTTTCGTTAAATACGTGCAAATATTTCCTCTGCTGTATCCATATAAAATTCGAGTCAATCTTTGGAAACTGAGATGAGATCCGTATATTATTTTCTGTTCTTATTTTGTGGATGGTTTTTTTTTTTAACTCATTCACATCAGACACCCATAAAATTATCTATCTTTCGTAACCAACTATTCAATAATATAAAACGTCATTTTGATCCACGTAAGAATAATTTTAACTTCTTTATTTATTTACTTTGTTTTTCTATTTTAACAAAAGAAAAATTGAATGCGTGATTTTTATTTTTTTTAAATAAACATGAAAATATGGTCTTGTGCTCCTTATATTTATTTTAAAAATATTCAACTAGGAAAGAAAGAATAGTTAGTTCGACGAAATAGAAATAAGATTAAATGAATATAAGACAAACATCTACAGAAATAAGTGGTTTTTATTGTTGAAATTACGAAAAAGTACGAAAACCTAGAAAAAAAAATAATTTGAGATTTTGTAAATAATTTTTGTTTCCGATATTGTCGACAGTAATGTGTATAGGTATTGATTACCTAATACATAGGTAACCTATAAGATAATAGAAATATTATATAGTTTTATAGAATCTAAGGCAAGGAAAAATTAAATAGTAGTACCTACATGCTGAAATTTTGCTTGTTGGTGTGAAGTTGATATAAAATATCTGTATATAATATAATCATGAAATTACTTATATTTAAATTTAATATCTATTCGGAAATTTAAAAACTTCAATTCGTTTAAAAAACGGAAAAATACCACTTATAAGTATCATCATCGTAATGATGCCGTCAAATAAAACTTTGTCTTGTCATTTATGCGTAACGGCAATTACTTGCTTACAATAATATAAGTTCCTTGAAACTTTTCTGCTACTATCTCTTTTATTCGGTTTGACCCCAAAAATATAAGCCAATTATTATACATCCATTCCACTTTCCCACTTTACCACGAAGTACGAAAATATACCAGTATTTATTGAATAATGTATTATTTTATGACCCACCTATAAGAATCTACCTATAAACCGGAATAGGATAAGAAATGATAACGATACAAACGAAAATTGTCACGTATAAAAACTTTTGAACTTTAAAGTCTCAAAAATTAATTTTCATCGAAAAACTTATTTTTTAAACAATAAAAAATATGTCATACTTAACCAATAGAATAATTATTTTAACACGATTTTATTATATATAGTCATAATAATAATTCATTACAATAATAAAACCTATATGTAATACATTTATACTTAAAAATATGACTTTGAGTAGGGTTTTAATGAGGATAGTTACCTACGTTTTATACTCCTGAATACCGAATTCACGAATAATCCATTTATACGCACCGTTGATTCTTTAACTTATTACATATATACAAATATTTTAAATGTACTCAATACTGAAATTTTCAAACGAAGTTTTCTTTAGTCTTTTTATCGAATTCAACAATTTTTATAAACGCATCAAACATACGATCAATATACAATAATATTACTGTAATAAATAACGTATAAATATCAAACTCTTGATTTTTGTTTTTTTCGGTAATATTATAGTTACACCACTTAATGTTGATAATATTTTATGCATTCACTAATGACAACCAAGTAGATATTATCTACACAGACTTTGGAAAGGTTGAACTATAAGACACTAACATAAATTCTCGTATCTAGTGAATTCGGAGAATCGCTATTATCTTGGTTTAGTTAATATTTAGTAAATCGTGATACGTAACATTTTTCGGTATTAAGTCAAAAATCAGAAATGTTCAATTCGGGGTTTCTCAAGGTGGACACTTTTCTCCAATGCTTTTTTCTATTTTCATAATTAGTATTAAAAGTGTTATTAGTAACAGTAATTTTGTATAATTTGTATAATTTTTTTGAATTACTGCCACCTAATTCGAAATAATCTGGATACATTAGATGTATGGGATAACAACATTAGTTTAGAGTTCAATGTTTCTAAGTGCCAATATATGTCCTTCCACACAATTCATGTCCCCCATTGTAATTAATTACACTTTTTATGATTCTCTACCAGCTATGAAGTTATTGGTACCGCTTGATCGGGAATTAAACTTCCAAAATAATATCAAAAAAGCTGTCCTAGGATAATGAGGACTGAATAGAGGGTAAATTCACTTTTATAGGTGGAAAATTGGGAAGGTAAATAGACGAAAATTTAATGTACATCTGTCCGCAACGATTAACCATTACTAACAAAAAAATGTTACTGAGCAGAGTTCGATTGATAGTGTTATTTCATGATATATGATATATTCATAATATGTGTCATATTATGGTTAAATAATTACATATGCATTAAACATTTTCTTTAATAATATTTTTTAACATTGTACCTATCTTCCTGTTTTTTCTATGTTTTTTTCATGTTTTTTCCGGTTTTTCTCATCAATTAGAAAAACTCCGGAAAAAGTCAAAAAAAACATTTCCTAAACTGCCACCTCAGTCATATTTTCTTTCAGGAAAAATTCTGTAAATCAGAGAAAAATTTCTGATAAAAAGTTGTTCACATGAAAGATAAAAATAAAATATAAACATCATTATACAACTAATACATTCCTAGCTTCACTCAGAATCTAAAAATGTCGCTATAAGGATTTGAACACTTAGCTTTATAAAAAGGCTCGCTAGAAAATTTAATTTGATAGCACCGCTAAAAGCATTATACTGTGCGCTTTTTGATCATTTCTAAAGTATGCCATTGTTAAATGGGATCGCCTACAGCAAGTTCAACCAGACTGAAAAGGTACTACGTAAATTTGTAAGCTTCGCTGCTTGAAAGCTTTATTGAACACGAACCTCATAATTATGAATCAACTAATGTTAAGGCTCTATGGTTATCAAACCTAGTTAAAGGCGTATTTTTGATAAACAGTTATTCCTAAGAAAGCTCATAGATGGTTCTATTGCTTGTCCCGAACTAATAAATCAACTCAATTTCAGACTCCATTCGATTTCAACTTGTTATTTTTCCATACCACTTTGCCTCACTAATTATTCCCGTAACAGAACAATTTTCAAGTTGATGAGTAGCTCTTTCTATAAATATGTTTATTATTTTCTTTTTATAAATTGTCTGAACAATGCTTGTAGAGTTTTCATTACTATTTACATAATATATTATTCTATACTCTGAGCTACAGCTGTTCTATTTTAGATAAACTAATAAAGATACTATCCAAAGTATTAAAAGAAAAAAAATGTTTTATCTTATAAGAAGGAATACTTACTATTTTCTAGATTATTTTATTATGATACGCGATTTTCCATAATGAAGCCCGAATAAAACAGATAATATTCAAATACTCATACATTATAGATATAGCTTTATATATTATCATAATAAGGAAACTATTTTTTAAGGAGATATGAAAGATTCACATAACACTTTCAATACAAATATACTATACATATTCCTATTTTATTTTCATTTGTGTAAAGCCTAGTAAAGAAATTTGCGTAAGACAAATCAAAAAATTATATTTGTCCATGCAGTTTAATACTATAATAGTAAAAATAATAATAGTCAAAAAAATAATAAAAAGGCGTCCTAAGGTAATGGGGACGGGTGCAGCCACTGTTATAGCCTTATAGGTAATTTGATGCATACCTATAAGATACTACAAACCATTGCTTACAAAAAAAGATTCTATGATATATATGTCATATTATTATTATTTCTATTTCTTTAATAATATTTGTTAATAATACCTGGAAAACTTTTGGGAAAATCGAAAAACGATCTCCATAAAGTACCTTCCCAGTCAAATTTCCTTTTAGAAATATTGCTGTCATTATAAATTGGTGCAAAATTGTTGGTAGAAAGGTTGTGCACAGGAAAAAATATCGTAACATTATGTAAATATATTTTGTTCATTTTCCCATTTTTTTTTCCAGTTGTTCACATTTGATAGAAATCTCCGGAAAAAATCTAAAAATGACCTGCTTAGAATACCTCTCTACACCGATTTTCTTTCAGAAAAAGTGTCACGCTTAAAAATCTGAATAAGTCTTCTGATAGAAAAGTTGCGCACAGATAAAAAAAAATTAACATCTTTATAAAACCATATGCTTTTTCGCTCCACTTCGAATCTAAAATTACCAAAACACACATTATAATAAAACTTATACATTACTCACTAAGCTCTGAATCTTAAAACATATTATAGTACAAATCGAAAAGCAAATCCCATTATTCGTGCGATAAATTGAATAATTTAATTATTTTAACTATAGGGTAATAGCTATGCATAATCTAATAATTTGATGTTTATAATGGATAATTACAGTACGCCTAAGTATACTAATAACCGTTTTGATTTTAACGAACAGAGTTCACACTATAGGTATAAAATACTATGCATTTTTGGTTTTTTTTCTTTAAAATTAGTTTTAGTGAACATTTGTTAAAATGATATTTTTTTATAACAACGCATATTTTATGCCATCAAACAATATTATGATAACACGCGTATTGTGTAATTTTGATATTTTAATTTTATAACATTGCTTTAAGATAATAATAGTACTAATAAGCTAATAACCACTTCTATCATGAAATATAACACAATCGTAAAAATAATACTGTTATAAAACGTTAAGGAAAATAAATCAGAAAACATAAATATCGAATAATATACAGTGTGTCCCGCCGTGTTTGACGGATTTTTCTAGCGCTATTAATATTAAATTTTGTTCGATTTTTTTTTTTCAATCGGTTTGTCTTCAAAAAACCATCGACTTGGAGAAAAATGTAATTTTTATTTTAATCCCCTAAATACAAAAAAAAAAATAACTTTATTTATTCACTTTAAAAACTTTTTGAAAGCAGAAAATATATTAATAATATAATATTTTAAATTAATATAAATATTAATTAAATAATATTTAAATATATTAATAAATATTAATAATATTTTGTAGAAAATATTATTCTTGAAATTTGAATGCATCAAACATCTATACATCTCCATAGTGGAATATCTGAATAACGAATTATATTAGCTTGTCGTTATTCATCGGATTAAATTGAATCCTAAGAGTATTCCGAAGGTTGTGTGTATGTGTGGGTATTTTGCTTAATACGTTTACAGCAGGGAAATCTTCGATGCAACGGCCACCGGGCCATATTTACACGCCATTACTATATGTGGCTTTAAAGGTTGCCCTTATATTATTTGTTACACACTACGCTGTAGTTCTTTATTGACCGCTTAACCTTAAAATACATGGTCCACCATCCACCGCGAAAAATACTTTATAATGAACCACCCTTATAACTCCGAAATACGTTTTTTTTATACACGTTTCAAGCTAATCCTTACATTCATTTGTCCGAAATATACGAAATATAATATTTTGTATATATACGAACACCGTACTCAGTCGAATTGGATTATATTATACTAAATTAAACATACTAAGCATAATATAAACACGTAAACACGTGTGTGTTTGGGGAGGGGGTAAATCATTTTTAAAAAATTACAACAAAAAATGCGTGTGAAATACCTGACACATAATCTCTTTCGAGTAATTTACTTGAAATAACACGTTAAAATATTACCATATATATATATAAATATATATCTATGTACAAATTATAGAGTTAAGCTACATGAATAAAAAAAAAACATACTACTCTCTTCACTCCGGGGGTAGGTTACTGTTATTTTAGAGAAACCACAGGGGTGCAACTGAGAAGACACTCAATTATATTATTACTATTATTATAAAATTGTAATAGTAATAATGAATCGTCGTTTTTGAAAAAATAAATCTGCACACCAAAGTTCACCGATGTATCTATATACAACAATTTCAAGTTGCTAATAAAAACAAAATTAAAATAAAAGTAAAATCATTGTATAATATTTTATTTGTTTTCTTTTTTACGGTGGAGATTACTCTAGGAAATTTAGGCCCATTAGTGTCGTTTACACTCTATCACTCCATGCTTCCTCAATCTTACTAATAGTACCTAGTTCTTCTCTTTAGGTTAAAATTATTCTATATAAAATAAATGTAACGGTACAAATGCTTATCACGAAATGATTGAACAGTAAATATACCTAAATCGAAATCAAAAAAAAAAAAAAATATATAAAAATTCAATGACAGAATTATTGAAGGTAATCTTTATTTGAATTTGAAATTATGTATTTAATATATACCTATTATAAGAATGATTTTGGAGGTGAAAAATATAGGTATAGTTTAAATAAGTTACGCTTATGAATGACGACATTTATAGTCCTTTATAAAAAAAATACAGAATGATGCAATACTTAAAATAAAAAATGTGTAAATTATTCATAACGTTCAATGAAAAATAAAAATCAAATTATTACCAACATTATTTGTAAGCTTACGCTACTAATTATGAGTAATAATGGAAAAAAGTCCGTTTCCTTAAAAGAATTCATAGTATTTTTACGATTTTACGTATGTACTAACCTAATTTTTCGTATAATATTCTCGAAAAAAAAAATGTCTCATGGAATTTCGTAAATTAATATTTTAAAGAACAAACTAAATTTCTAATCAATCAACACCATGAATAAAACTATATATTTTCCATCCGAAATTTGTTCATATAAAAAATACTGGACAGTTGAAAAAATAAATGAATGTTTGTAATTTTGCGGTAACAATTATGCTGAGACATATGCGTGTATACTATATGCCATGTACATTCAATGTACAATATCATTTTTATAAAGGTTTCCTTCGTACAAATTATCACGAGTTTTCAATTACCTAATGTAAAAATAAAACCTTCAAAGTTTCAAAAATTGTGTACTAAAACTAAAACTCTCGTTTTGGTATAAAGTACGTTTTTTTTAAACTCGTGATAGTTATAGACTCGCGTATATATTGGTAAGTTTTATAACGTCGTCGGTGATTACTGTTCATAATGAGTAAAACTTTTCGAACTAGGTACCTAAGTAAATAATTTTCTTCAGAAACATGCCAAATGCCCATCCTACCGATTAAATGAATAAAATCGAAAATTTCATATTAACATTTTTTTTATTTTCCAAAATTTATTTTTATTTAGTCTGCAAAATGATAAAAGTAATAATAATTTATTACTTTAATAGCGCAAATTTTCAAATTTGTATTTACATGAAAAGTAGCCTATTTTTGGATAATTTTCATTGATTTTCGGGTTACCTTGACAATAAGGGGAACAATGCGACTAATAATACTCTGTTCAGAATTGTTTTTCATTAACAATGGCTTATCGCGGTATAAAAATTTAAATTAAATTACTCTATATATCCTCCCTTCCAACTTCAATCTAACAGTGGTACACCCATCAGTAGGATCAGCGCTTTTTTTTGTTCTATTTTTTATGCGTTATCATAATAATTCGTTTTACGAATTTAATTTTGAATTTTATGTAGGTGTGTATACATACATATATATATATATATATATATATATATGTACCTAAAATAAATACTTTTGATAAAAGACAAATATTAGCGGTCAAAACTTTATAAATTAATTGCAATATTTAATAAGATTCTGTGGTATGGTAATATACACAAAACAAAAACAAAGTGAGCGTACTCAGATAGAATAATTATGAATAATTTAAACAATGAACAATTATTAATAAATATTTTGTATACAAATATATCTACCTACCTGTTAAAAATTGTATTTAAAAAAAATTTAAATACTTAAATTATTATTATTGTATAGTAATATTTTCTACGGAAACGTCTTTTAGATTCTGAGCGGAACGAAGAAGCTTAAGGTTTTACAAAGATGTTCATTAATTTTTTTATTTTTTTTTATCTGTAAATCTGAAATCTTGCTCTTTAAGTGTAGCAATATTTCAAAAAAGAAATCGGTGTGGGAAAGTACTTTAAGGAGGTAGTTTTTCGATTTTCTCACGAGTTTTCTCAATACATAAGAAAACCTAAAAAATTGAGGAAAAACGGGAAAATGTAATGAAATATATTACTAAAATATTACAATATTAAACAAATATTATTAAAAAAAATATATTATGTCTATTTTATTATTTTATCACAGACAAATATAATATTGACAAAGCATTACTATTAACTGAACTCAGCTCAAAATCGTTTTTTCGTTAGCAATGGTTGTTTATCGTTGCTTACAGGTATACACAATTGCGCTCACAGAAGGAGATTAAGGGGTTAAAACCTCTCCCGAAATGTCTTACTTAACTACATTTTTCCAATCAAGTTTTCAGTCAACAACATTATATCTTAAATCACAGAATAAAATAAAATTTAATTTCGTCAAAAATCATTTATTGAGTAAAAATAATGATAGTACTGTTCCTATAATATATGCTTAAGGAAATTATTATAAACAAAACCACTCTTAAAAAAAAGCCCTGCGTACGCTACTGGGTATACATTAAATTACCTATGACAGTGACTGCAATTATGTATTTTAATAAAATATTTCAATTATTCGAATATACAAATATACATCATCTATACGATGATATTTTGTGCCTGCGCAATATATTTTTTGTTTGCAATATTAAAAACCATAAAGATAAATATTATAATAAGACTACAGTTTTTACGTTTTATAAATAAATTAAAACAAAAGCTCAAGCGCTTAGATTTGTCAACGTCTTTTAAAACATAAAATATCACTAGCATTACAAAAATAAAAATAATAAATGGAAAAATGTTCAAATTTATTTAAATTATTGTTTATATACAAACGCTATTTGTCTTTTTGAAAATATTAATTTAGTTAAAAATATTTCATTTAGATATATGTCTATAATATATCTTTAGTCCCAGGGAAGGAAGAAGGGCTTAAGTTAATTTTTGACATTTTTTTTTTTTTGTAATTTTATCTTATTATTTTTGCTTAATTTTTTGGTCCAAATGTTATTAATGTATATATTTTATCACATGTTATACTAAAAATTAAAATCTTAAGTCACTACGAAGTAAATACTTTTTGTTTGGTGAAAGAGCATAATTCATATTTATTATATAAAAATTTAGCCATTCAGCAATTATATCATTATGAAATTTAGTAATTCTCAAAATTTTGTTTGTTTGTATTAAAATCTATACATTAACAAGATTAAATTATCTTAAGCCCCTCTTCCATGCGACCAAATATACATAGTAACAAACAAACCTCCAACGAAGTATCTTAAAAGATAAATAAGCTTTTGAATAACAAGAGCAAAATATTTAAAACTACAGTAAAGTTTTATTATATTATTTTTTTAATAGTTATACAATATATGTAACTAAATTATACTGATCTATAAACATTTACCATGAAAAATATCGTATAAAATATTTTGACTACAGGAATACTCTAGTTTATTTTAAATAGTATACATATAATAATACAACACATAATAATGAAAAAATACTTGTCAAATTTCTTAATAATTAAATTTTTCCTTTTTGATTAGCTTAATAAAATAAAGTAAGTAATACAGAAATTACAATTTAACCATGTTGGTATTTACTAAATGTGCAGGTAATCTACAAAGTGATTGAAAGTTTATTTCTAATCGATACGCTATATTTTTACAATTTTATTCCGCATTATATCTTACAATAAATTTAAACGTTTAAACTTCAAATAAAACTTAATTTAATCAATAGGACTAATAAATGTAATATTTTATAAATATTAAATTAAATATGAAAAACGTCTAAAGATACACAATTATACAATTATTGTATAATATACATACATAGAAACGTGTATTTCTTTTATTTAAATTTCTTTACAAAAGTCTAGTACTCAGAATCGGTCAAACAGAAGGTGGGGATAAGGAAATGATCAAATTTGTCTCAACCATTTATAGCAATATATACACTATACAGGGAGTTCCGCGAAGATATCCCGTTTTAATATCTCCTGATATAATAAAAAAAATCAAATCCTGGTTTTTTTTTTTTATGTTACTCACACTCAACAATTAATTGTTAATGATTTGATAAAAATTCAATAATTAACTTTTTACTTTATTATTATTAAATAATTTGAAGACAGCTATTTTATAGAGTTTATTCTTCTAAAAATGATGATGTATCAACTTTTTATTTTAATTGAATTCGTAATGTTTAATATTTTTTTAATATGCAGATAAAATAAGTGTAAAGCCAATTAACCATACTCATAATAATAATCAATTGGTGAATGCAATTATAGCCTGCTAAATAATTTCAGGTATTTCTAACCTCCCTTATTTCAATTCAAGGGACACCCTGTATTATGTGAACAATAATAAATTATTAAAAATTATCATTTTTCTCCTCCTTAACAAAATCAATGACCACCACTGCTAAAACAACTGATGGATATCCCTACCACTATTTTAGGAGTAAGTTGGAAAGGAGAATATGTAGAGTAATTTATTTTTTATTTATACTCAACTATAACCCATGCTATCGAAAAACAATTCTAAGCAGAATATTATTACTTGTATTTTTCCTTTTTGGATTGATACTATTGTCGAGGAATTTACCTCAAAATTCGAGATAGGTCCCAACACTTCACTCTCTAATTAATTATTTACCTCTATCTAATAAATATGAAACGTAGTAAAATAGTATTTTTTCGCACTTCAGATTGTATGAACCGTGATATATGTATAATATTATTATGATATCCTGATATTAAAAATGAATTAGGTTTTACTATACAGTCATTAATCATATAAATGTATTTAATTTACAGTATTCAGATATTATTTATTTATATTATATTATTATTTAGATTATATTTATTTATTTATTTATAATTAAGATACCTTAATACAAGTAATAAGTTTTGGTTTTTTAATTAAAAAATAAATATCTACTAACTAAATCATTAGTAAATATTGGATTCAAGTTTTTTTTGGAAATATTAGACAACTAATATGTTTATAAATATATACAGGGCATTTCTTATAGAACATTTTAAACCCCAAGACATATATGTATTTATGAACGATAAAATGAAAGGATTTAATTTAAAATATATGAGCACTAAATAATAATTGATTTTAAATAGATTCTCGTTTATTAATAATGATTTATTAATAATTATTGCAGTTACTTAATACGATTTTACAAAATATACCTACCTATCATATACATAATATTATAATAAGGTTCGCAAATATATTTTATAATATTATATAATGTATTTTACTTTCAGAACAAGTGAATCATTTTAATATCAAAGGATTGAAATAATATACAAAGTAAATGTTGAAAAGTTACATAAAGCTATTCCATACATATATAATTATTATTACTCGTATAACTGTTTAAAATACTGCCGAAATATAATAAAACAACAGTTATATTATTCAAATATTAAACAGTGGAATATTGTGAATACACAAGTTTGATACACGAACGAAAAATTTAGAAATTGTGATTTTATTTTTTAGTTTTAAATAAATAAACGATCAAAAGAAAAAATGTTTAAATTAAATGCACGATAATTAAATGAAACCGTCAAAATGTATTTCAATTATTTTGTTGCAACTGCTGTACGCTGATATACAGCCTAACCAAATCTAATCACATTTATGATGGCCCTCAAATATTTATCTAATATATAAAATATTATTTTTATTAAAAGCATACTATATTGTTTTGAGCATATTGTATACAGTTAAACGCTATATAATTTGAGAAGACAATCTATTACTCTTCAAAGAAAAAATATAAGTAAATAAAAACAATACAATGTGTTTCGTTTCTATACGGATACATTACAAAAGAACGTGGCTTCTAAAGTTTAAATGGTACAAACAAAAGGAGAGATGACCTATAAGTTGTATTGTATCGAGAAAAATATGGTAGTTTTGTATATGAAAACAAAAAATACAAGTAATAAAACAAACGTGCACAGAAAAAATTTTATTTATTTCTTATGCCTCTCGTTAATCTAAATACCATGAAACAACATTTCAGAATGGTATGATTTTAGATTCTTAGTGTAGCAAACCTTCTTTTATTCGTAATTCGTCTATTCTGTTTGTACTGTGTAAGTGAAACATCGACATCTATCAGTGTTTTTTGTTAAATTCCGGAAAGTTCTTGTTTGAGACATTTTAGTATGTATATTTTTATAATCCGGATTATTATAGTCTGAGACTTTTTGGTATAGGCATTTATGCTTTCCGGATTTTTACAGTCTGGAATTTTCCGGTCAGAACATTTATTTTTCCGACCGATTACAGTCCGGACATTTACAGTTTCATTTTCCAGATTTTTACAGTCCGTCGTTTCCTTGTTGGTTAATTTATACATTCCGGAATTTTACAGTCCGAAAAAATGCTGTTAATGGTTTGTTTCGCCTTAATATTACAGTCCGTATAAGTACTGAAAATTTCCAGATTTTTACGGTCTGTCTAATTATTTTCCGGACAATTCTGGTTTAACAATATATCCTAACTTTCATACTTCCCACCCACAACATATAACACAGCGGCACACTCATAATGCGAAATGTTTTGACTTTTTTATCGTCAATATAAATTTGAAAAGATATAATACACAATACGAAAAGTCGTGAAAAGTTCGAACAACAGATATGAATCTCGATACATACTCGATCCCAAGACAGTAGAGTTTCCATTCGATATTTTAAAAAATAAACCCTTGTATTATAGCTAAAATAAAAATTTTTTTTTTTTACAAAATTTATATTCAATAAAAATAATATTTTATTACCACTCAATATATTTAAGTGGTATAGTTTTAATTAAAAAAAAACATTTCAATATAAAAACAATTCTTCAGAATTTTTAATTTTCCATCATATATTATAATATTATAAATATATTTTTTTAAATTACAAAGTATTTTTAAACAAAATAATAATTCTACGTGAGAATTAACATTTCCAAACACCCGCAGATTACATTTCGTAATTTTTAAGGTATCCAACTGGGAAATTAAAAAAATTACTTTTTCGAAGCACTATATATTATAATAATAATATAATACTATCTTCGGTGCCCAATTATACTCGTACTCATACGTAAAGTTGCTTTAAAAAACTTTTTGTACATGTATTTATACGGCCCCAGAACATCTTTTCTGAACTATATTTTAAAAAATTAAAACATGCACATATTATATCATTGTAAAAATTTAAACTCAACGTTAACAAGTAAAATGTTTTCTATGCGTTTACTTATATATGATCAATGCCATAGTGAATATTTTAAAGAGAACATGATAAAAACTAGCACAAACATCAGAATTTAATGATTAAATTTTTGCAAACTATGTTTTCTACCAGATATACTGCTCCAATGAAAAAACGATAAGGATCCTCTTGTGATCTAATTGTATAAACCCCTATTATATAACATTAAATAACAATACAACATATTAAACTTATAAAGATAAATTTAACTTTTTTTTAATGTTACTTTTTACGTGTACATAGGAAATATTTCATTCCAATATTATATTTTGTAGAAAATTAACACACTGTTAAAAAATATGGAGATTGGAAGATGGACTTTGAAGCACTCTCCCTAAAATTAAGAAAGTTTTTCCATCAATATACATTTTTATATAATATTCTGAACAAAAATTGATCAAAAAGCTTTAATAATAAATTAAGATTATATAAGTATGTATATCTCGGCATATTTTAAAACTATGTTATATTATATAGAATATAACAGGTGCATCTTTCTAAAAGAATTTTGAATAATGGCAATAATTATATCATATTTTCTATTTAATGTCTTCTTTTTTTTTTTATATATATATATATATATTAGACAGGGACGGATTCAGGGAGGGCCTAGGGGCCCAGCCCTCCCCCTAGACATATTATTTCTTCGATTTTTTTTTTATTCTAATTCTATAGATCTTAATATTACTATATTCCAATCACTGATATGTATGAAAAAATAATATACATAATACATATTATATTATATTTTAATTTTATTTGTGTTGTAAAAAAATTGTTGCCCCCCCCCCCTTTACTCTGGATTCGTGCCTAATATTAGACATGGTTATAACGTATTGAGTATATTTTCTGACAAAGCACTCCTTAACTACGTTTTCATTTTGTCCAGTGTAAAAAACGTTTCCTTTAGGAGTGGAAGGAGAAATTATTGGAAATGTAGTTAACACTCAAATTGTGCAATAGTGTGCATACATAAACACAACGCAAAGGAGGTTAGCTATATAGTCCCTCTCGCTATACCTCTAAAACTAGTCATAAATTATTAAACTTTTTTTACTTATATTTTACTTACAAGAAACAGAAAAAAATAAAATATACAACGGATACAAAGAAATTATTTTCCAATTTTATAATCAAATATTTGTATTACTTTAAAAAAATTATGGATATACTTTACACGATTAATAGGCCATTTTTGTAGATAAACTTAGAGAAAATAGAATATAAAGGTGAATTTAATGTATATCTGAACGCAGCGATTAATCTTTACTAACAAAAAACTGTAAATTTTTAGCTATAAATTTTCCAGGTTTCTTTTACGTTTTTCCTGGATTTCCCCAATATGTATTAACCGCTTGAAAAATCTTAAATTAACCGACTAAAATACCACCTACATAAAATTAACTTTCAGAAAAGGTACTAAATTTGAAAATCGCAAAAAGATTTCTGGTAGAATGGTTGTTTATAATTTAAAAATAATTATTATTATAAAAAAAAAGGATAAACATTGTTGTAAAACCAATAAATTCCTCACTTCACCCAGAATCTAATAATAAGTAGATAATCCACAAAAATTTCAAAGGTAACAATTTCAAAAATAGGTATTTAAACTATGAATATTTACACTCAAATAAAACTATTATACGTTTAGATACTAATTCAAAAGAAAATCGTTTCTATATGGACAACTTTCCCAGATGTTTCACTGAAAAATATTAACGTATAACATTTTTCGGAAAATCTTACGGTGAGAAAATCGTTATGAAACTATAAACACAAAAACTATAATAATGAATATTTCGGATCTACAGGTGAACGAGATTAAGACTCGGTGTTATTTCACACGAAGTGTATAAAGTGTATTATATTATTTTTCATTTTACTCCGCACTTAACCAACCCAGTTGGTTTTACTATCAATAAACAGACATATCTACGAATATAACGCACCCACACCTATATATTATATAGGTATACAATACAGTGAATAATAAAAATGTTTTCTAAAATAAATAACTATGCCCACTAGTATCAGTTTTATGTGATGTAAAATAAATAATAATGCTTAGAAAATTCGTGGGAGTTCTATAAAAACGAACAATAGAATAGCTTCACTGAATGCCTTACGCTATACTAAAACATGGAATGATTTTCTTCAAGTCTGAGGTACCTATACAATAGCCCTTTTACCTAAAATACGATAGGATATTCTCTATTTTTTTTCTACGAAATAAAAACAGTTTTTTTTTGCTTTTGATTTGAATATTAAAAAAGATTTTTATGTAGAATATAAATAATTTTTTTTTCAAACTCTGAGCATAGGGAAAGCCGGGAAGTGTATTGGTTTTATGATGATACGGACTCTTTGTGTGTGTGTGTACACTACATTGCTCCAATCAAAAAACGACAAGAGAGCTTTTTTAAATAATTTTAGACCTACTTGATGTATTTAGGAAATGATTATTTTGATTTCCCAATTATTTTTCTTTATAAATAAGAAAAACCAGGAAAAAGGTGGGAAAACCGGAATGTTTAAGGCATTTTATATGGTTTCATTATTTTTAATTTTGTATTTTGATGCAACTCAGTTGAAAATAATCACAGAGCCTAGCAATTATTACAAAATTCTTGTATTAGTTTTTCGTAAATTTTTCAAAATATTCTGGGAATTTCTGAGCTATATATATGCATTGAACATTATCTAGTTTTTTTTTAAATAATTATAAACATAAAAACATTATATGGATAAAATTGTTTGGCCAACAAAATTGCTTGACAATATAACGCGAGGTTAATTTTAAGTTGTAATTAATGGTCCATTTGGTTTGTATTTTTAGTTAAAATGTTGACAAAAATCTTAAAATCTACGACATTTCAAAACATGTTTAATAAAAATGTCATTCAGAATTGTAGATACTTATTGAGCAAGATTAAGCACTGTGTACAGATATTAATTAAATAATATTATATATCCTCACTTCCAACTTTCCACTTACTACAGTGGCACATTTATCAGCTTTTTTTTGTGCAAACTGTTCAACAGGATATTTGCATTACCTGTCATTGATGACGTAACACTAACTGCAATCGATAAAAGTACTAATAAGATGAAAAATAAAAGTACATTAATAAATTTTCAATTATAGTAATATGAAACTGTAAACATTTTCATCGGAACAATACGATATTTCTGCTCTATAGTATAAAAAAAAAAAATTAAATGAAAAATAGAAAAATATTGTGTAAATATTAGATACTTTAACTTAATTTTTTAACTAATTAAAGTGATTTTAACATGAATGAAATTCGAATACCTGTGTTGATCTTAATTTTTTGTTTGATATGAAGAAAATAACTATTAAGACCATTAAACAGTGCCCCATGGGGGGGGGCAATAGGTTATGCACCCCATTAGCCGTATCAAAGCATTTACGTATTAACCTATATAGTTTATTAATACGTTTGAAAAATATTCTACGCATTAGTGCTCTTCATATTATCAATTTATTTGATAGTAACTTTTTTTTAATCAATTTTTAACAAAATGACCTAATGTGAAATTATTACTTCAATTATTTGTAACATTACCGGTAACATCAGCAACACTAGAACGCACATTTTCCACTCTAAAATTATTGAAGAATTATTTGGGATCACCTATGAATAGCTATGACAAAGATAAACAAATCAGTAAAAACCACAGAAAAAGAAGTTATACAAGTTTTTTCTTCAAAATCAAATCGGTGTTTGTTATAATTAGATTGATCGAAATGAATTTAATAAATTAAAATGCTTAATTTTTTTAATATCCATTTAAATAATTGTTATAGTAATAAAAAACTATTATAATTAACTACAGTTGAATAAAATTTCAAAAAATGTTTGGCTTTGGTCCCCCCATTTCAAAATTATAGCTACGCCACTAACATCAAATATATCTATCACCTATTAATATTGATACGAAATATGAGATATTTTGTAGAAAAAAAAAAAAGGTATTAGTAAGGGGTCTGCGATTTCTAAAAGTCTTTTATTAGACTTTCATTAGTCTTTCATTCCGTATGCACCAAAAGTTTAAGAATCGCTGACCTATACTAATAATCCTTATATACAAATTAATGTAACTGGGAAATATTATCATGCATTTATCAAAAGCACGGATAATCACATTTATTTTTATTTTTTTAATTTAATATTTGACCTTTATAATATTACGCAACACCCACCTACCTCTATCAAAAGACTATCAAAACTTATTAATTATTCAGTGTAGTTTTAGTAAATATACTTTTGAGTTTTAAAAACGCCATTATAAACCAAAATATTTAAGTACGAAAGAAAATATTGTATAAGATATACCTCTCTTACTCAATTATATAAAAAAAAAACTTTTCTAATTAATGCAAATAATAACATTATACCAAAAATAATATTTTAACTCATAAAATATCGATCACAAGATATTAATACATTGTATTATAATCGACAGATTTGTTTTCATCCTTTTACATCAATAATATACAATCTAACGATAAATAGATAGGTACACGTTTTTAAAGCACTCCCTATTAAGATGACACTGTGATTTATTTTCTCTGAACATTAGAGGTACCTGACAAGGTATATTAATAAGGTATTTACACAAAAAATACCGAATTATTATACATAATTTATAAAACCAAAATGTTTAGCGTTCTCGGTTAATAGTATTATTGTGTAATAAATTATTGATCTGTACAACCAAATAAATCACTGATGTAAATAGTATACGCAAATAGTAATGATATTTTGTGGTACTACTGCCTGAATCTCTGCACGTTTTTCTGCATAGTTGGTACTGATTTTAGCCTATTTTCAAAAGTCGATTACTGTAAAATAGATATAATGCCCCAGCAAATCTTTGCACGGTTTTATACCGACTTGGTACCGATTATTTAACCTAAAATAAGAAAAACTCGTATGAAGATTTTCATAATAATTGACGTTTTACTTTAGCTAAAATCTGTATCATACATAGCTAGCTATATAGGTAGAAAAACGTATAGAGATTGAGGCGATAGACATATACAAATTATAATCAACTATATTGAGTATGTAAATCATTCGTCGGGTTTTACAATATTTGATTTGCAAACGTTAATATCAATTTTTTTTCAAATTACTAAATAAAAAATAAAAATAATACAATACGACATTAAAACGATCTTAATTTATCTTATTTGATGATAATTAAAATCATTCAATATATATATATATATTATACATATATATTATACATATATATTATATAAAGACAATAAAATATTAATAAAGTTGTAAGGCATACAATAATATTAAATATAGTAATATGATTTTCATAAAATAATAATATTTTAAATTTAATATACTAAACATATAGTACGGAAGCCAAGAAGAATATAAGTCATACGGATTACTTGTCCTTCTTTTTGAAAATAAAATAATATCATAGCGAGGAATGCCACTGACTTCCCGAATACCTACTTTAGATTCCACTAACTTTACTCACAATTCACGATTCAAACATTACATCAAAATTGCAACTCCGCTCAACTAATTTATGTCACCTTACGTACTTATCTATAACTTACTCCGTTGTATGCAAATTAATTTTACAATGAACCATCGTATTTTATGAAGAAAGTATTTCAATATAAAATAACTATAATATTTTATATTTAGTTCCAGAAAAAAAGGATTTAAAATAATTTTTATATTTTTTGTTATAATTCTATTTAGGTAAATATTTTATCATTACTTTTGGTCTAAATGACATAAATACATGTACATTCTAATGCATTTCATACTGAAAATTTAAATATATTAAATTACAATAGTGTACTTTTTGCTTGGCAAAAAGGCATAATTCAAATTTACTACATAGCAATTTAGTAATCTAGCAATAATGTAATTTTCAAAACTGAATTTGCGTATATTGAAAATATACATAATATACATATACATAATGAACGTAAGATTACCATCTCTGGGACCAAAGATCTATCATATACAGTTAAAAACTAGTTAAATAAATTTGAATTCAAAGAACTTAATAATATTAGTAATAGTTTAATCATCAAATTTTTAGCGAACTCGTTAATGTAGATAATAGTCCAAACATTTTTTTTTTCACATAAGTATAATAAATATATATAAATGTAGTATAATACTGTTTATAGTTGATAATTCATATTAATTAAAAGATAAATAAAAAATAGTTGGTGTTTAATGTGTGCTCTGTTATAAACTTAATTGATTTCTAAATAAATTTATTCACTGGGACTTTTCTTATACATTAAAATAATAAATCACTCATAAAAATTGATTTTTGCTTCGCTATAGTAAGTATATATACTACCTTTACTTTTACAACAAACCCCAGTAGGGTGCGATATTGCGCTACTATGATATCAACATTCAACACTACCCGAAACTTAATTACATTTATATCATTATTAGAGCAACTGTATTCATAGAGTTGTCGGATTTTAAACACACAATTATCCCTTCTATTTCAGCTTAATTCCAGACGTCCGTGAGTTTGCCCCCCTCCACTTGTCCCACTGACTTCAAACTGGTATTAACATTTTTCAATTTTTTTGCAACTTAATGCATATCTCGGTAAAAGTCTGCAACTCATCATGGGATCCGTAATAATCAAAATAGGTACTTATTGGAGCGGCCAAGTTCACGCATCCCTCCTAACATGATCCTACAAACTTAAAACAGGTATGTATGAGACATCAAATCACTCTGTTCATTTTTAAATTTTGATTTAGCATGAACGTAATAATATAATTGGTAGAATACAAATTGAAATGACTATATGGAATACTAACTAATAATATAATAAGTAATATAATTAAATCATTGTGACCTTGCCCTTGGTAAAGCTATTATGATATTATTGTTTAAATATTGCTATATTTTATATTACACATATAACTCGCTATAAAATTTAAATTTCATAAAAAATCAACAAACAAACTTAGGTCCTATTTTCGTCAATCGGTAACGGACGACCAGTAAGCACGAATACCGCAAAACACTTTTCATTAAAAACATATAATATTATGATAACCTAAGTAAAAGAACTGTATTTAAATCCATTTTATATAATATGGTTTTATACCTATATTAGGTAATTAAAAAGGTATATAATATATATTTAAATTTAATTTTAGTATGAAATAATAATTACATATTCTATCTTAGTGGCCTTTTTGAATTTGTAGGTATATAGGTATAACATATTCACAGGATATTGTATTCATCGACGATAACCAGCTATCTAATTTATTTCATGCTATTATATTGATTTTCACAGGGAATCACATATTTTACATTGAGAACAAAACAATACAATTATTTTTAGAAACCCGCATTATTTATAATTATGGGTATATTTATTTTTATTTTCATACATAATATTTAAAATTTGTTGTTGTATCCCCTCCCTCGATTTATATAGATAGATACATCCTTGCTATTACACATGCACTAGAGTAAGTAACAGAAGTAGGAGATCTTTTGTGGTGAATTATTAATTTTGTTTTTAACGATGCAGTTCGTTTTTTTGATTTTCAAATAAGTTTTCATAAAAATCGGGAAAAAACGTAGGAACGTTAAGATAAAAAGAATTACGGCATTTCAAATTATGTATTACCGAAATACGCTCGGAATAGTCTTTCGTCAACAATGGTTTATCGTTGCTTATAGATATAAATGAAATGAAATAATGAACCTTATGTATCCTACCTTCCTAACTTATCACCTACAACAGTAGCCGCACCCATCTACAGTATCAGCTCTTTTTTTTTTCTTTCTTTTTGTTATTGGAAAGATAAGCAGTAAATGATACATCCAAGAAGAAAACGCAGTATATAATATGTAGTTACTGTTTATATATTTAGTACAATTATTTATAGATGGGTATACAGCGTAATTATCTAGTTTAGATTACTCAGAATCGTATTTTGTCATCAATGATTTATCGTTGTGTGTAAATATTAATTAAATAAATATATTCTACTTTCCTACTTTCCACCAACAACAGTAGCACATCCATCACATCAAGCAGCATTATTAGTTCTTTTTTTTCTAGATTATAACACTTTATTGTCTGTATTTATTAAATAATATACAAATATACTGTCTCAAACATACTTAATAACTGTATAGCAACATTTAAAAACAATTTTATTTTGGTTTTGTCAAATTAATTTAAAAATTTTAATTCTTTATGAAAATTACATTTTATTGTTATTTGCTTATTTATTGGTATGGATTTAACCAAACAATAATGATATTTGTGCAGTAAAAATATAGTTTATGAAATCATATGAAGAACCGAAACAACTTTTGGTTATTGAAAATAATCCCAAAGAAAACTTTCATGACATTCTATGCAAATCAAATGTATTTTTTGATTTATAATTTTTTTTTTATTTTAATGTATAACTATGTTGTTTTGCGGCATAATATTTTTAATTTGATGGTGATTATAGCTGCTTCAAAATTATTCAACTATACTAATCTGTTTTACTGCCACATTGAAAATCAAAAACCTATTAACAATAGGGTATTTGAACATTCCGTTCTTATAAAATATTAATAGTACATATTATTAATATAACCAAAACCAATATAATATTCCTTTTTCGTCATTAATTTTTTAATTATTAAATTATAATCTGTACAATGTCAGTACTCACCATTTTTTTTGTAGAAAATCAATTCTAGTTTTAGTTCAGCTTTACATTCCAAAGCCTTTTCAATTTGAGTAACATGATCGTCACTAGTGTCTGGCCCAAAGAGAAACTTACAGGCGCATCCTTTCTGCATAATTTGCGCTCGGGCAAATCCTGTGAGTTCGCAGAATCCGTCCGAACAGTACACTATTGGATACAAAGATGGCACTTGAGCATTCCCAAGTACGAAATTACTATCTGAAAAGCGATACAAAACAAAATTATTATTTTTAATCTACGTATGTATTATATTAAAAATAAATATGTTGATCATATTCATGTAAATGGATTATTATAACTCAACAAGTACAGTAGCAATAATTTGGATACAATTATACTAAAACGCTATTTTGTTTACGCAAATACAATAAATGCATCAACAAGATATACGATTATAAGTGACGAACTTATATTGATTTTGCAATCAATTTGCAATCAAAACAAAATTGAATATATTCAAATACAAACAAGCATTCCAATTTTAATTTAGAACTCCGCTCGGAATCCCGTTTTGGATGCAACAATTCATATTAGTTCGGTTTAAAATGTTTATTATTCTCATATGATGAATAACTTTTCATTGAACATTAAATTTATAGTAATTATACATTATTATTATTATTATTATTATATATAACTATCCGACAATAAAATCGATTGTCGAAAAATATTAATAAAAAATTGAGTAAGTAATTGAAGACAACAAACAAATTGTTGGACTGTCTTGATTTAAAAATAAATATTTGCCCATGTACAATTCCATAAAAAAAAATGCTCCTTTTACAGATATAAACTGACATCAATACAAGAACAGTAAAACTACGACACTACCACTCAGACAAGAGTATCAGGAATTTAATTTACAGTTAAACCGTGTAACAGGTGGTAGGGATAAATTAAATTGTATCTACTATTGCAGCTGCAATAGTAGATACAATAGTATCAATAGTACCATTTATTTTTAACCAAAAGATTAGTTTGGTAAAAAAATTTTATGTCCTCCATATAATTTAATATAGACATACCGAACTTTTCAACTATGTACCTATTTGGAAGCGGTTTTTCTAATTGAAACTTTAAAAGTAAATTTATCTAATCATATAAAATAATGTAAGACAATTCATAAATACATGATAAATCTAATTAATTATATAGTAATATAAATTTTACAAAGTATTTAAAAGTGAGCTATTATTATTGTAAGTTTGTTTTTAATCCGACAAAAACAAAAAAAAACAAAGATACGGTTTATACTCATATGCCTACCTACTTCCTTATTTGATTTCTTCTTTAATAACAAGCTTCCTACAAATATTCGGCTAAATATCAAAAGGCTCTATGAGCATTTAGAATTTAGTATATATAATATATACTAACGACTTCTATTGAAGAGAAGTAGCCAAAAATAAGGATAGTTGAAAACAAATTTGTTTTACGGGAATGGTCTTAAAGGACTTAAACTACAGAAAAAATGTATACCAACGATAGAAATTTATGTAGTCGAAAAAATGAAAATACCGACAGTTAAAATACATCCATTAAAATAAACTAAATAAAATATAAAATAAAATGATAATATTGCATATAAATTAATGGTTATAATTAGTTCTCTTATATATTTTTGCAAAGATAAGTTTTAACAACAAGGAAATTGCTAATACGACAAATCAATACAGTTTTTTCTGCAGTCAATTCAATAAATAAATCTAAAGCAATTATTTTCAGAAGAAACTATAAAATACAACTACACAACCGTTCACTAGAGTACACTACGTACAAGTAGTAAGGGTAGGTATGTATTTTTTTTCAAATCAAAAAGCACTAGATTTAGTGATAGAAATGCGTGAAAAAAACCATAAGGTCGAATATTTTTTCTCATACGTCATTGACCTCTTAACGAGACCCAGTCTATGCTTCGTGCCCTCCCTCACGTCTTTTTCATTGGGTTGGAGTTCCGCGGGAGAAAATATCCGGTATCGATGTCCCGAGGAAAATGAGTGCTGCGTAGATGCTCTGATGACGTTCATCAATCATTCACTATACAGCATATGTCAAAATCAACTTCGACAGTGAGTATAATATGCCATGACGATAGGATGCGTCTTGGACATAATCTACAGATGGATTACTAAATATTTTTACTATTTCGGATTCGCAATTGAATAATGAATTCAACAAAAAAAGTTTTAAATTTAAATAATATGTACATACTGCAATTCTTTCGCATAAACTATTTTTAAGAAAAATAATTCGTTTTAAAAATCGCCTGTACAGAAAAAAACGTCACCTTCTATGGGAACGCTATACATTCTCGGTTTTGAAACACGATTCAAATTAGAGTATTAAATTAAATTATAATGAAACCAATAGAAGTATATTATATAGTTTATATTAAAATACTAAATACAATACGGTGTGTGAAAACTAACAAGTGATACTGAAACGATAAAACACAACCAAAAGAAAAGAAAAAAAATGTTTTAAAAACTCGTAAATATTAGATAGGTACTTGTTTTACGAAAATGTAATCGTATATAATATAGTAAACTGTACAATGCATATTATTACTATACCAACAAGTATAATTTACGAGATAATCGTAAAATATTTAATTAATTTCACGTCGATAAAACAATACCTATATGGGTACTATATATTATATCTAGCTACCTACAAACATACATACATAAAAGACCTTTAAAATTCTAAATTAAAACACAACGAAATATATATATATATTATAGAAATATGGGCTCAAACGGCAGGTTTACAATATTGTTTGTAAGGATTCTGCGCACATTTCACGGAATACGGAATATAATATAAACCTATAGTTATAGGTTTATTAACTTACTATTACCGGAATATAGGAGTTAGGCGGAAAAATTGTAAATATATATTTCAATTAATAAATTAATATTCCCGAACGCCCTATAATACGCGCGAGTTTTAGTAAAACTAGGGTATATTAATTTTCAATATAGAAACTTACCGCGGATACAGTTGAACTATTATTATTATTATTACATAGAATTTTATAATGTTTTGTTTTGTGTGTTTACAAAAAATAAGTACCTATGTAAAGAAATAACTAATAAATTATAATAAATTGCAAGTGCCTACCTACAACTAACATTCGACCGATTTTATAATATAATACGATTTATTCCCTCCAAAAATACTATGATATATTACAAGTATTGTATTATATTATATTATATTATAAAATATTATTAAAATGATTATTTTAAGTATCAAATAAATAAAATCTAGGGCTGGATCGGGTCCGGTTTTTGGTTCTTCAGCATAATTATTTATTAGTACCAGCTTTAATTATGTTTAGTGTGGTCATGCTGGATATAACCATTGTTTCTTTTAGTAAATAACATTAGTTAAACCTGATAGAAAATATAGCACATTTAATGAAAAAAAGCAAAATTAAGTTTAGATACTTGTAAAGTTAATTTTGCTTAATTCTGATTGCAATAAAGCTCCATTACTATCAAAATGATTCATAATGCATTTATGTATAAACATTATTTTCACTTCCCGACCTATTTACTACAAACCGAGCCCGATATATAACTATATTTTGAATCACGTTTTGAACATGAAATGTATCTTTACTAAAATTATAAATAAGCCGTTATTTACTTGTTTGTATTTGCTCGAATTCAATGTGAAAAAATGCACGATTTATAATATTTATTATTATTACGAATGTATGGTAGTTAACTATTATTAATAATTTATTATCTGACATAATAAATTACTAGGCACTACCAGGGTTATTTACAATATTATTACCGTCAGTTTACAAAATAATGTGCTTCTCATTCATACATTTTATGAACAACGAAACTGATTAACACATATTGACAAACCTATTTATCATCTCATCATATGTTTTAAAATTTCTATTTCGCGTAACTATACGGTCATTTTTATTGGTTAAATAATAGCTACTACTAGTTGAAGACTAAGATACTTTTCAACTATTAGGTACCTGCTTAATTAATCTATTCATAAGTATGTTTTTTTTTTTTGTTTTTTTTTTTTTTGTTATTTATATAATAAAAAGCCTTGACATTAATAGTGTCTCTACATATTTTAAATTATTCAAACGAAAAGTTCATTGAATATAACAATTACAATATTATCTAATATAGACAAACGAATAACAACGATTATGTTTTTTAAAGAATCGACTTACTGTCATTTATTAATTTTTCTTTTTTTAAAAAATATTTTTTACTAACAATGTATAGAGTGATCACTAAATATATCAGCCAGATAACATTATACTTAGAATCAATTTTCAGAAGGATTTATGAAATACTCAAATATACATTTATGATCCAATTTTCAAAATATTTATCCTAGCCGTGTATACTAAAACTTTCAATGGGAATCATCTATTTTTTTATATCAGATTCTGATATTAGTCCTATTTTTTAAAAACATTTTGATCAGTTTATATATTTTTCAAAAATTAGATACCTAATACATAAATCTATCTAGACATTTTTTTTTTCAAAATCGAAAAAAGATCATATTTTTTAATATAATTTAGAAGGCGTTAAACTAAGATAATTTAAAACACTAAACTAACCAAAGTTGCTTAGTAAAAAGGCCTATTCAAAAATGGTGTTAACAAAAGGCATTTGTATTTATGAAAATATAAGTTTAATTATGCACGTGCATAATACAAAGGTTATTATATTTAAAATAAGCTTAAGATATATATTTTAGTACTAATGATCTTCCTAAGGAAAAAAATCTCATAGGTTTCATTCTAATGACAGTCAACAACCGAAATACTTTATGTTGCTTGAATAAATGATCAGAATGTATAAGCTAAATAGCAAGTAGTTTTTTTTTTTTAATATTGAGAACATGACTGATACAACAATATTACTCTAATGATATTAAATTTGCACTTTTATCATTTTAAAAACGTATTGTACTTATCATATTATTATTAAATTCAATCGAAATTATTATACTGTTTATTAAAGCTAATGGTATGTTCAATAAACCATCGGTTTATTAATAAATCTTACCTATATTTTACATTCATCTACTTACAATATAATAATTAAACTATGGATGAAAATAATATATTTTAGATTCTGGATCGAAGAATGTATTGGTTTTACAGAGATGTTTACTTTTTTTTATCATTATTATGTGAACACTTAATCCGCCAGAAAGCTTACTCTGATGTATACGAAAAAAACCTTTTCTTAAAGGAAATTTTTTTGGAGTGATACTTTAGGAAGGTTATTTTTCGATTTTCTCAGAAGTTTTCTCAACAAATTATGTTATATCTGTATGCAACGATAAACCATTACTACCTAATGAAAAACAATTCGAACTGAAATTTCTTTTATACATGTACGTAAATTTTCCTATTTTTCTTGTGTTTTCTCAATAATTATGAAAACCGCTTAGAAAATTAAAAAAATTATCTCCCTAAAACACCGTAAAGATCCAAAATTAAATAATAAAGGGTCATGTCACTGGTGTGGCAAAAAAAAAAACATCCTAGTAAAATTAATAGATCCCCCGCTCCGCTCCTAATCTAATTTAAAAGTAAAATAAAACACATAGGTTGTAAAACTAATGTGTTGCTGCTTTGGGCTTTGCTCAAAATCTTAGAAAATCAAACTAATTTTTAAATAAAATATGCACTCGTTTTAGAATCGATTATTATCATTTATATAATTAATTATTATAAAGATAAGAATTGCTATTTTTTAT